TAACTGTGCTAATCACTCAAAAGTCTTTGATTATGTCGAAATGTTTCACCTTTTTAATCTTCACCCCTGGTAAGTCGCCGCATCCGTAACCATTCTGGTTTGTTTTTGGTGTTTTATTAGCTTTTCAGTGTTCTAGTTCCCCGAAAAAACTATCATTTAAAGCTACCACTCTGTAAAAAACAGTCTCAAAATATTCTTGTGCGCCCCCTTGTACCTGATATTCAGATTTTACCTTTCGCCTTACTTTGAAATGGATTATTGAAGGTCTCGAGCTATCATCTGCAGTTTTAATTATCAAATGCAAAGAGGAAAGCTTAGACATTCAATTTGGTGAGAAACCAACTTGAAACAGAAACATAAGAGTAGTTTGCGATTAGCAAAGGCAGATAGTATGAACTAAGCACTCACGAAAAGAAAGGTAAAGATTCCTGTCAGTTGCACTCTTCTTGTTTGATTTACAAAATTTCTAGACTTATTTTATACCACATTTGAGGTATCAAAGCGCGAGGGACTGAATTCGCGACCTTTTAGAAAATTAGTTGCTTTTTCCCTTCAAAACCCCATTTGCCAAGGATGTCAAGGCTCCTAACGAGAACCCGCGTATGAAATGTTTTTTTTTTTGCCTACGAAACTATAGGAAAATTGCAATCTTTTGTATTGAATTTCTCTGAAATCGCGCATTTTCCAAGAGCGGTGAGGGTTACAAACTCATGTTACTGATATACGGTGTTGCATTTAATTTTATCGCACTTGAAACGCGGAAAATCACAGCGCTAGTATAGCGTAATTACATTACCGAATCTCTCCATAAAACTCAAATGTGGAAAAGTCCTCGAAAATCCTGTCAAAAACCACTAAGTGGTGGGATGTAGGGATGGACATCACCTTTAACATGAATTCAACCCTCCTGCGGAATTCATTTTTTGCTTATTTCAATAATAATTATTTTGGAAAATCATGGCTCATGGCTATCGGAGTGATCACGATGTGCAAATACTGGCAAGTACTATTCGCCTCCGAGCAGCAGAAGAGACAAAGTCACGCTTCAAGTGTTTAATTCCTGACCATCTTCCGGTATGTTTACAGAAATAAACTAAATTTTTGTTTCTGCGTGGTGGTATATACCACAACAATTGTTCAATTCTATTTCTGCGAATAATTGTTGAATATAAAAACTCTGAACATTTCTTTATCGCGTTTGAGGAGATAAAGACTAAGTTTGGCTGGTATTCTTGATAAAATATACCATCTTACCACAGCTGGAGGTTAGATTTATTTCCATTACCATTTTTTTAGTCAATTGTCTCATACATTGAACTGACAAATCGACTCAAAATATATGACATTTGCTGATTGTCTTGGTGCATTTATCCGTCTCAGTTTTCGTGTCGCACTCACTGTCTAATGAAGTGTCGCAAAATCACTGTGAAAATTTCGCTTCCTCAGGCGACGAATGTAATTTGATTTTAAAAAGCTTTCAGGAAATTGCAATAAATAACCTCGTTTACCTATCATTAAACCATGAGTAATCCTCCCAAATTAAAATAACTTAAGACTTAGATGCTCTCTAGCAATGGACATCTAATCTAATGTCTGAATGGTATTCTTTCGCGGAATGTGAGCAATTTGAGCTTTTTGATGAGCTCAGTTTTTTCGTCACCCATTAAAAATGCCAAACAACTAAATGGAAACACATTAATAGAGCCCATTATAAACTCATTTTTTCTCTGTGATATGGTAAAAAATTAAGTTATTTTTAGAGATTTGAAACTGACTTAGATGGTCATCTTCAGTTGGTGATCTACCACGTCTTGCAAGCCAGGTAAGCTGTGTGTTAGCTGTTCATCGAGATGGTTCTAATTTGTTTCAAGCCCTTTATCAAAAATCAGTAGGGATTTTGAGACAATTTCGGGGTTTTATTCACTTATTTGCGATAGAGTGATCGAGTTTTGATTTAGTTCTAATTCCTGTCATGAAAATAAACCAAAATTCGGAAATGAAGGAAAGGAAAAGGGATCCGCTCTTAAGAAACTAATTTTGAACGAACATCCAGTGGATTCCTACAAGAAGCGACTAACCCTTGAGGTCCACCTTACAGCAAAAGACAACTTGGCCGCTCGCCCAAAATTAAAGTAAATTATCTCTATTTAGCATATGGCAAATTCTGCATCACAGTTTACACAATCTGAATATCCAAACTTTTAATTCCTCTAAAATTTACACCATGTTGCTTGAAGAAATTTGATCCTCATAATCTGTTAAATCCATCCGACTACGAAACAGATCCTGAAAAAAATACTGTGACTGCTGAGGAGAGAGAACAAAAAGAAAGTTTCACACGTTTTCCCAAATTAAATCTTCCTTTAAAAAAAACTCAACTTTCCTACTGATCTTCCGCTTATTGTAATCGGGCTAGATCAAACAGAGCAGTTATTGCAGCAATTGTCGTTAAAGTTTGAAGTTAAGTCTTATTTCATTCCGCTCAACCCTGTCAACTTTTAAAATGGGCTTGCTCATGAACACAATTCCACATTTTCTAATCTGATTTGTAACATTAAAATGGATGTAGCGGTGAAGATAGAAAGTGTTCAATCAATGCCTGCTTGAGGTTATTTATTCTTTTTTCAATGTACACTGTACTTTATATCCTAATAACAGTCCAATACGTCCACAGTAAACACACCTCTGAACTCCGGGTAAGCATCACTTATCGGCTGCAAATAGAATCAGTTTACGTATTCCGAAAATGAGACTCCATTTATCATGGAAGCAGAAACTGAGTAGAAATTGTAAAAACAGAAATTTGAATTTGTCGTGGGTGTAAATTCATTTGTCTAAATAATCTTTTAATATTTCAGATTTCACTCAATATCAGTCGAGAGAGTTCCATAGATAAAAATCTCATCTTTCTCTTTCATACATTTCCACCAGGTTATGTAAACAGTTTGGTCCATTCTCTTTCTCCACGATATGATTTCCTTCCTAAGTTTAGACTACCTGGTGTATGTTATTTACCTTCTGGAAACAAACATCGCAATTGGCACATTTATTCACTTTTTCAATTACAGGTGAAACGTAAACCAGCTATTTTTGGAGTCATTGAAAATGCTAATAATCGCCTGCGTCAGGTCATCATTTGCCGTATGACTGTTTTCACGGACTCCAAATTCTAACTTTTGTAAGTAGCCGTGCGATAGGACATCAGAAATAATGTGGGAAAAGATAAATGCAACATAACGGAAAAAAAAGGTTTTTTTTTCGTTATATTTCATCTATCTTTTCCCCTCCAGTGAAGCACAATCCAAATGTATTTCATGCATGATTGCACGAAGTTCTTTCTCCAAAAGCTTATTCATCCATTATGCTCTTGCGTTGTTTTCACTAATCGACTCTGTGGTAATAGCTGGTCGTGGAAGGCACTTGGCAAAAACTTTACAATGGAGATTAGGAACAATTCATTTAAAGTGTGACATTTCAACTTTACCTCACAGTTGGCTTTGTGGAGCAGAAAGCTTTTTTTCAACGCCCTAAAAGCCATCTGCGTGTAAAGGTTGAGACTGGATTGAAATTGAAACGGAAAAGGTTTGTTTTTATAGTACCTTGGCGATTTTAGTGAAGTAAGCAATATACCTTTTTTTCTTTTAATTGGTCGTACCTAGGCTGATATAGAGTGGGAATTCTGATTAAAATTTTACTTTATTTTCATTAAAAACAACACCCACTCATTCAAAAACCAATTGCAACAAGATAACAAAACAAGAATTGTTATGATTCAATTTGATTTATGTGATTTATCTGTTCCTTCTCGATTTATCGACTAATCCAGGAATTTAAGCTCATATTCCTTGATCACAAACTGCTACTTCACAAATCAAATGTTAATGACTATAAAATATCTTCCTAGGGGAAATAACACCCACAATTATCAATCTTTCTCCGACTTGAGAGCCACCCAATATTGCAGTATCGTTGAACTTGGCTGAATAATTTAGCGCCCAAGATTTTTTGAAATGGTTATCCAAATAGTATTTCACTCAAATTATGCAAGACGGATATCTCTTGTATCACGAGAAAGGATCCAGTGCAAGAGAAAACTAACCATATCCACTCAATACTGGGTGCTATAAGGTTGCCTCTTAGCAACAACTACACGAGTTTTAACTTATGCAAACATCTGCTTTATTCTTCGTTTTAAAATTCGACAAATTGAGGTCTTTCTTTTACACTTGTAAGATGACACGATGAGTATTACCATAAATAGAATATCAATCCATCCACTCTGGATTGGTGCGCTAAGCAAAGATTTTCGGAAATTGTTTTTACAAAGACTAAAAGTTAAAGTAATATTGTAAGAAATGGGCGCAGATTAAAATAAAAACATGACATTGTTTATTTTTTAGTTATTATCACTTGTGTGACTAACCTTGTTTACTTATTAATTTATTTAAACATGTATTAGTTTATTCAAGACTCAGTAGACGATTTTAAATGAATATCACTCATGATCTGTTAAGAAAAGATAAATTCAGGTCAAAGTTACGGAAAACAGAAAGCTAGATCTAACCATTCTAAAAAAGCGTGTGCACTAAAGGAAATTTCCTTCCGCTGTTTATATTTTTTTCATAATGATTATTTCAATAATCATAGGGAAATTGAAGTTCTAATTGATGAAGCGTGCGTCTCTATACATCAGCATAGTAAAAAAAACATTTTCTTTTCATCCCACATGAAAAAGAAATTTAAATGTCTTTGTTTTCATTTTTTCAATCTTGTGTACCATTCCGAAATAAATATTTTATTCCTTTAAGTGGATCACGCCTTTTTTTTCTACTTCTATTGGTTTCTTTTTTCTTGAAGAGCGGTTTTATGGTGAAAACGTGACTAATTCCTAATTGCTTTATAGTTTTGACTACGGTGCAATTTGCATAACTCCCCCGGTTCAAATCCGGTTTGACTGGATTTTATGGTTAGTAGACACTTATCTGTAACGCAGTTAGGTGTTCGAACATACGATAACAGCCTCGCTAAGGACAAAGAATGTTCTCTTCGTACGCAAGTTTATCTAGTTCTTTTTTATAAGTAAGGTTTTCCCTCTTCAGTCAACTCTTCATCTCAAAGGTATGTTTTTCTTTTTCTTCATAGCAATCGTTAATTTTTTAAAAAATCATAACTCTGAAAGATGTTATAGTGACACTGAGGTCGTTCTGATGAAATTTGTTGGAAAACCTTACGGGAAGCTTTTGCATCAATGTGCAAAAGTCGTTCCAAGTATCGTTTTTCCTGAACCTTTTGTGAAGACTATGCATCCTTCGGTTCGTATCCCACATTTCTGCTTTTAAATAGTTAGATTAACGATATTAAAGACAGCCAGCGATTTATGATAACACGAGGAATGACATTGAGCTTTTCAGAAAGGCACAAAGTCATAAAGACATTGGCTTTTGTTGTATCCCTGCACCAGAGCAATAGTCAAAGGAATCAAACTTAGTTCAGATGTGATTGGCATTTTCCATTTGACACGCAAATGCACAATGTGCAATGCACTTGAACAAAACACTACATTAAACCCACTTACCACAACCTTTTCCAATGTCATCGTTTCAGGAAATTTTCTCGGGTTTTGTTCACTCTAAAGAATCATGCAACAGTTTTCCAGCCCAAAGAAGAGACTCTAAACAAGCCAAAAAAGTTATAAAACGCTTTGACTGAGAAAATGAGAAATTCACTTGCTTTTTTTAAAAGATAGAGTAAATTTTAGCCACTAATGAAAACAAATTGTGGGGCAAACCGCTGATGCAATTAATCCATTAAAGTAAATGACAGAAGACGTCTCCATCCGACGCATATGATTTAAATAGCAATTTCCTTTTTACTATACCTTTAAAATGATCAAGGAGATAATTTTTAATATCATATCACTTGTTGATATCACAGGTAAAAATATATCGATAGCAAGTTAATTCTACAATCCTGTCCATTGCTCCAATGCATATACTGTCAGCCATCGTTAAAAGATCGAAAAAAACAGAATCTAATCACAAGTCAACATGATATTTAATATTTCACAATTTGAAATCACCCCTTGACAAGCCCTTAACACTAATGGAAAATGGTCCCCAAAAAGCTTGGGGAATCTAATCAAATGTTTTGTTATTGAGACCTCACCATGCACTGCCAACAATTGACAACTATGCAATTATACAATTATTTCCTGAAAATGTGTGCGTTAATTAATGGCTATCGAAAACAAAAACTTTATTTCTAGATTCACTCGGACAATATTAAGTGTCACTACACACGCTGCAAAGGATGTATTTTTCTAACAATGCTAATACAGAAGTTTCCTCAAGTGAGATTTAAATCTGTTTTCTTTGACAGTCTAAGACTGAACTATTATGTCAAACCTTCCCGCGGGCATGCGCGTTTAAACATTAGCCACCTCATCGAACCGCCGCTTAGAGGCCAGTCATATGGGACCCAGATTGTTTTCTTGGAAACAAAAAAGAAAATGTAAACGTTAGGAAAATTTCATGAAACGAATGGAAATTAAAATAAAGGTGACTTGAAATTAGTACCCATCCTAATTTCTCAGTTATTTTAGATGTAAGAGCGGTGCCTTTGATTCGTGAGAAATATTTATTTGTAACATGTGTAAAGTCTTTTTTATTACAAGCAACTATAATCCCAGGCTTTGCGAGACAAAAAAGAATTGTTCTCTATGTAGAAAACTCATTTCTGCGGTCATCATACTACCTTCAACTTAACCAAGTCAGTGATGTACATACAAAGTTGATTTTCGTTTTTGTTGCACAGAGGTCATATAGGCATATAGGAGTGTCAACAGTATTCCTCCTTTATTTTTGGTGAAACAATTTGCAGGAGTTCAATATTGGGGCTAAAAAATAGCTCTTACGAGCCGATCCTTTTAGGAAAGTTGCCGTTAATATTTGCAATTGTTCTTCAAGTCAACAGAAGATGCTTCAAACTAAGTTAGATATCATTGCATGCCACACACCAAGATTTGCCGGCCTTATTTGTAGTTTTTATTAAGATCTAATTCTCGAAAATCTCATTAACAGGGCTTCTGTTATTGGTCTAAATCCTTTTACGATATCTTCCTGTTTGTCGGAAGAGAATAAAAGAGCCCTTTTGAGGAGTTTTCTCTGATTGTGAGGAATATCTATATCAAGTAGGTACAATTTACGAATTGCGTGATCTAGTCGCAAAGTTGCGAGTGCAAAAAGCAGTTCTCTTCATGAACGGAGTTATCCGGTCGAGCACTTTAGGTTGATGGGTAAACATCCTAAACAGAGTGAGCGAGTCGATTCTGAAGTGCAATTCAGGTAATTTCAAGAGCTCTCGTATGACGTGTGACAAATCCTTGAGTACGTTTTTTTTCGCTCTTTCTGATGGGATTCTACTTTTCTTTTTAAAAGAAGACTTCATTTTTCCTGAGCCATTAAAGTAAAATGATTCAATCGTTTCTTTAGATGGAACAGTCTTGAGCTGAGTAGTATTCTTTCATACTTTTTGATACACTATGCCTTCTGACACAATATTGTTTATCTCAAATAAGTTTAACAATCCGACGAGATGAGCGGCTTGTCACTTGTTGTCGTAGGTTGAACTACAGAGCTCAACACTAGATCAAAATCATTTTAAATCGTGACTTATCACTCCGAAATAAGCTATTTACTGATGAAAGCAGCAAATTTTGAACAGCTAGCCTTCAGGTGAACGAAAAAAAAACACGTTTTTGGCGGGAAAACAGGTAGGCCGACAGCGTTCGTTCTATAAAAAAAAACTCATAACAACACACCAAAGAAAGGAAGGTTCTTTTATAAACCCAAACTTTCAAAAAGAAAACAATTTCAATAGAATTTGAAATTTAAATGTGACCTGTGCGATGTAGGTTATGTTGGTTTTACACGCTGCCATCTGCACCAACGCGTTCAAGAACACAGAAATTCGACTTCATCAATTGGCAAGCATTTTCGCGGCAAGCAGTTCTTTGGCCCCAGGGGATCTTACGAAGAATTTTTAGTGTTTTAAAGAAGTGTATGAACAAATTTGATTGCCTACTTTATGAAATGTTTTTTTATTCAAGAACTGAGACCTGCTCTCAATGTGAAGTTGAACTCAATTCGAGCAAAGGTTATTAACTAGGTTTATAATTTTAATTTTTATTTTTAATGTGGTTTTCAATTAGCTTCTAATTATTTCCTCTCTTTGTATGTTCTTATTGTCCTTTTATCGTGTTTTACCGTTCATTTTTATTGTCAAAAGTTTTACGGAATCGCTATCGATAGAATTTGCGAGGAAAAATTCCCAAATCCTTTGCAAGATCGAGGTGAGAAGGCAAAAGGCTCTTTAGGTCTAGTACTCAGTAGCTTTTCTCTCAAACGAAAACGTAATAAGGATTTCAAATAAATAATTTAATCAAATTTTTATTTTGGCCATCAGATTCATAACTAGCTGAACGTTTACCTGGAGGAATATAAGATGGGTCTGGGAGCAAGCCACTGCAAAGGAGTCTGGGCACCAAAAGAAGTCTCTCTGACCACTCTGTCTGTAGCTGCCGTGTATTCCCTCATCACGGTGCCTAGTAATATGCTAATTATCCTATCAGTTCTTCTTGACCCTAACAAGAGCCTCCGCCGTACACCTTACCTTCTCTTAGTATTGAACCTAGCCATAACTGACTTGATAGTTGGCGCCATGGTCGAGCCGTTCTCAATGTACACCCATGTGAGGGAGGCCGCTCGCTTGTCAATCAGCTTCTCATGGCTGTCACAGTTTGTTTACTTTATGTGCTGTACCGCTTCCCTTCTGAGTTTGTGCATCCTGACCATTGACAGGTATCTGGCCATTACTTCGCCCATGTGGTATCGTGCCAACATGACCAACTCGAGAGTCGCCCAAGCGTCTGTTTTTATCTGGCTCTTGTCGTTTGCTAGCAGCGGTTTGCTGTTTGTCACAGGGTTTGTCATGTATGCCTTCATCTTTGCCATCCTGACGCTTCTCTGCGCGATTTTCATTTTGGTGTTTACCTACGTTCGTATATTTGTGGTTGTGAAGCAAAAGGTCAAAGATTTGAATAACTTGCACCAAGGCGATACAGAAAGGAAAAAGGCCCAAGAAAGAAACATGCTATGGGAGAGAAAGCTCACCAAGACCCACTTGGTGATGTTGCTGGCGTTCCTGGCCTGCTATGGTCCAGCATGCATCATGATTTTCGTGATGAATCTGTGCAGCACATGCAGCTGTCACGTCATTCACTGGCTCAGAGATATGCATTTTGTGCTGATCACGTTCAATTCTTTGATCAATCCCTTTGTGTACGCCCTTAGGTTGGCTGGGTTCAGGATGGCAATACGTCACTTCTTAAGCTTTTGTTTTTGCTGTAGGAGTGGAGCGGTAGCGTCGTATAACGATCAGGAAGCGTCACACACGGCAGAAACTAGCATTGACCGATCTAGAACACTGGCTGTATCTCGGCCAATACAAAATGAGTCCTCGTCTGTCGCTTGATCACCTCGCATATCATATTCTTACCAACTATTATCCAAAGCTCCCAACAGCTTCACGAGTAAAATCTTCCTCTCATTCGATATCGTTTCTTAAACAGTACAGAGAAGGTTATAAAGGGGGGAGGGGCTGATCCTGTTTCAGATACGAATTTGAGAAAAATTTAATCGGCCAAGTGTGCTTTAAACGGTATTTCACGCCTTACGAATTTCAAAGGGAAAACTTCAAATCTCAAATCACTTTGCCATCCTGTAAAATTCACGCGTCAAATTATAATTTTAAGTCTTATCAAGCGTCACGTTTAAACCCTTTGCCGCCCTCTGAAGAACGCTTAAGCTCAAAATCGTTTTCACTGATTTCTGCCTGCTCCCAAAATACTCATGAGACAAAAAATACGAGGAAATTTCAAGGTAAACGGAGGTATTTTCGCTGTTTGAGAATATTTAGGATAGATCGCCCGTTGACTTTCCCATTCACTCTGTATAAAATGCATGCCGCGCAATGTTATCGTCATCGAACAGCTTATTCAGTGGAAGCTCGCATACTGAACTTGGGATGCTTGTGGATTATGTAAATAATAGCATCCCCGTATTTACAAAAATATACTTATATTGTATTTCCGTGTTCGAAGGTGCATAAAAAACTAGGGCAGATACCTAATGTGGTTTTTAACTAGAAGGACATCCCGTGAGAATTCTTGTTTAAGGCAGAGCTTCTCTGAATTGTTTTAATCTTGTTGAGTTTCTGGTAACGTACATGTTATCTCGGCAAAATGTAACCAGTATCATGCTTACTGAGTCAATTAAAAATTGTGCAACCGTCGACAAACATTTTTGGAATACCCATCAAGGGGAAAACGCACCTTACTACGTTTTCAAAATATTCCTTCTACATCAAGAGATAACTGTACTTTATACTTAATGTGTATAATTAGAGTGTAAATAAAAATGTAATTTAGGAGTTTTGGTCAAGTCCGTGTCCATATCCAGTTAGAGATAAAATGATGAAGTTTGCCACACAATCAAGCGAGAGAAAATGATAGGTCCCATGCATTATTTCCTTTTCAGTCAAATTAACCCACAACGTCTTTACGTGAAATTCACCTTATTAACCGTAAGCCTTTATGTCCTCAGAGAAAGAGGAAGAGGAGGAGGAGTTAAAAAGCTCGTCCAAACTTGTCAATAGACATGTCAAGGATACCATTCAGTGCCTAACACCAACTTTCCCTAACACCCTAAAAGAAAGCCCCTCAGAGACGACTGTTTAAGGATGACTGATGGAACATAAAAAGTTTACTTTCTTATCGAACTAGCCTGCCAAAACGCCCTGACAGTGTCTTGTCTTCTCTCGTATGCAAATTACAAATTTCATATCACACTAAAAACCCCAAGAGGGACCGAAAGATTCCATTTGACACTAAAATGAGCTAATAGACTCTCTGGGGTGCATAAATCTTGAACTAGTAAATAGGGAGGGTTATATTTACGTGTCTGTCAGGGTTCTCCTACAAGTGGCAAGTAATTTCCCGAAGATCCACGCGTGGAGAGACGTTGTTTTTATCATAGTCTGTGTTCCTAGCTCCACATAAAAGATCGTTTCCACATAAGTGATAAGCGATCATACTTCAAGTTCAGAATGGAATTATTCTGACAAAGCAGACGACACGTACAAGGAAACACTGCAACTTTGTTCCACTTCTTTTTCGATGGGTCTTCAAAATGGCGACCAATGGATTTCAAGTCAACACACTTTACCTAGTTCCCACAATTTATCTGGGTTTTCCTCCGAGCGAGATCCTCGAAACGAAATTGTAGAGGAAAATTGAATGTCCCAAATAAATGCGACCAAAAACACTGCTTTAATTTTAACAATTATCAGCTAATACAGACAAAATTTGAGGAGTTTTTATTAGAAAACTTTAGCCAGGTGACAGAAAGTATGAAGAAGTAAAAAATGTTGCAAATCTAGGCAAATTCGGAAAGAAGGGAAGACTGTAGTCAAAGCTGCAAGTAGAAGCAGAAGTCTACGGAAGCTTAATTCTCTCCTTTCTGGTTGAATTGGTGTTCGCATGATGTTTAGCGCGGAAAGAGCAGGCTTCCAGATCGAAGCGGAGTGGCCAAAGTAACCGCATTTTGTCATGGAACGTTCCATTATTCGGTATCTTAAGTACCTTTACCACAGATTGTTGCTGTTATTTGGAAATGAATTGCGTAATTCAACCCTTTCGATGACGTTATTTTTACCTTGGAGGTTACATTACACAGAGTTAAAGCGGCTTTAGAAGGAGAGAAAATTGTCATTTAACCTTTTAATTCCTATGAGTGACCAAGACAGAATTTCTACTTACAATATCCATACAATTTCAAACAGGCAAGTGATGAGAATAAAGAGAAATAACAATTAAAGAATTATCAGTTGATCCAGTGACAAATTCTCAGAACTAAAATTATAAGAATTGTACAACAGTCAGTAAGGAGAATCACTAATGAGATCTTGGGAGTCAAAGGGTTAAAAGAGAAAAAAAAGTAACCAAAAGACAAGCAAACAACTTAAAAGTGATTTTTGGCGCACGTACCAGATTTGATAATCTATTTCGCTTGTCAAGCTGATTTACAATAAGTACTTCAAGCTTTTTTCCCATTTATGCTGTTTTCGTGGGTGAACTCAATAGCTATATAAGTCAACATTTTGCGTACATCCAAAATAACAGTTTCAGCTAGACCCGGGTGTACTGAAGTTACTACAAAATAGCTGTGAGAAGGGGCCAATTTCATAATCGACACTCGCCTTCAATAAAATGGCGCCAATTTCTCGGAAAAAGACCACACCATTTCGAGCAATCAGTCATCGAAAACAAATTTTGATCAATCAGCTTTCGTGTAAAATGTTACAATCCTCTGACACTAAGCCGTAATGAAATACCCCGTCAGAAACCACAGATGAATGTGACGTCAACTTTATTTTACTTTATTAAATCTCTTCTAGATGGAAAGCTCTGTTCTCCTGTATAAGCGTGACCAGCGGGCCGAAACCCAGAAATAAAGTTGCGTTTTCTTATTTTCCGTCGAGGTATAGTCGGTAACAACTAGCAAACAAAGATAAACAATATGTAAATAAGACGGGAAAGCAAGAAATGCAAGTGGCAGAAAAAAAAATTTTTTTGCCTTTAAAAAGTACTTTAATTTAGGCTAAACAATGTGTTTAGAGCACTTAATTGGTAACCCGTCTAAGATTATCTCAACAAAAAGATTTAACTTTCTAAAAGCGATACTAGCTTAAATTACTTTTTGAAGAAGGTTCCCTTCTCGGTTACTGAAAAGTTTCTGTGCAAAAATAGCTCTTTGTGTAGCAAAGTATATAATGTACAGTTTTTTTACACTTTTTAGGCAGCTATAAGTAAGTAATACTTTGTTATCGCTAAAAAACGCAGAAAATCCTGATTGCGTTTTTGTAATCGCCGGTTACATCTGACACCTTTGAGAACCAAAAATGAAGCGAATGCCTCCCGCGGTTAATCATGGCGGCTTTTCATTTTAACTGTTTTTTCGTGAGCAGTAAAAGGTTCTAAAAGGTACCAGGGTCCTTTGATATATTTCTTTTACACTAATATCCTTAACAAAATAGATATAAAAATACATTGAAATGGCAGTCTTTTATATATAACACCAAACCAAACCATGTCTAAACAGCAGTCCATGGTTCTGTCTTGGTTTAAAGTTCAAACTATATCATGCAATCGAAGCATTTTAAATTTGCTACACAATATGATTAAATTACGGTAATATGATTATTGAGGTTTGTTGCTGTTTTAATGTTTAAGTTAAAACTTCCCTTTTTCGTGAACTCTTTAAAGGGGATTAGAAGGAACGATATATAATGTAAAGCATATAAAACGAGTATATGAATAATAATAATATAACTAAACCAACTAATAGTCTAACTCTTTAATATCACCTTTTGTTAACCCGCCAAAAACCTTCCCGAGAAGCTCCCTTACTTCGAGGGTCTTCATACAGAGGGAGGGGTGGGGGAAGGGTGGGAAGGAAGGGTTTAAAAGAATGGCATATCATACAGGGGGCCGCGGAATTCCTTCAGTCCTATGTGCCAGGCCTTCTCGGTCTTAATTTGAATTCTGTCGTCATTCCAGCAAGGCTTAAATTCGATTGGTTAGTACGATTAATTTACGTATATAGTAACGCTTGCATTAAATAATATAACAAAATACGAGCTCATTATTTATAATACACGAAAAAGACTGGAAATCCAGTTTAAATTACAGCTTAGGAGTTTTGCGTGTGCAAGTAGGCTTCATAAAAACTAGCGATTGAAACAAAGTTTGATGAATATCAATGTCTAATACCCCATTCACGTCAAAGCTTAAACATGTTTTTAGGCTGTTCAGTAAAACAATATTTATATTTTTCTCCCCTTCATAAAAGCCGCTCAAACCTGTTGTTTGTCGACTTTGAAGTTAGCCTGTTGAAAATACAAGTTATTGACGACTTGAATCCTTTGAAAAATTTAGTACTTCAGTCCTCTGTATCTGATTTTTATTCAATTGAATCCATTTTAGCTAAATATGTTTTGCTGGTGTGAATGGGGTATAAGTTTTCTTTAACATATGATAACTACGAAATTTAGCTTTTTGATTTGCTTTTGATAAGAATTAAGTAGCTTGAATCAACGTAGTACTCTATAGAAGGCGTTATTCAAATTCGTCTCCATTATTGACAGTATTTCACGTCCTCTTCCGCTGCGTTGGTCAGACTATAGATTCCTTTGATATTATCACGAGCCGCGATAAAGATAAAGATCACGATATTTGAAATTCACACTTTTGATATTTGCTGACATAAACGTAATAACACAATAACTCCTTTGTGAAAAGTAAGCCCATGGTATTTCTACCTTCATTTTCCTTCAAGAATCAGATTAGGAAAAATCGATCACAGGCTGAACCCTATCAGACCACTTTTCGAGGAGACTTGATTGTTGAGTAAATATAGTACGCAAATTCGTAGAATGACTGAAATTTTACAAGAAAACGAAATAAAGCAATTGACTGAGATTGGTCTAAGTTAAAATTACATTATCCCTGATTTAATATGATCATAATAAGCTATTTCTTTCAACTAAAAAATAGAAACGGAAGAAACCAGTTCAAGTGATAATCTGGATGGCACAAGCTGACAGGAGCGGAAGTGAGAGCAACGTGACAACAACGACCAAAATTGACTAATTAGCCGACGAACCGTCTGCTAAGAGCCGTCTTAGCGTTTACAAGGCATCAGTACGCCTTTGTAGCTCTAGACACTGGACAGGATATACTAACCCAAAAAGTATTCCTCAGCGCTAAAGTGTGGTAAGTAGAATGAATATTGAACAGAAATTTTTCATGTGGATATAGGCCTTTATTCTAGCGCAACCTTAATAGATGAGAAGAGGAAAACTTCATCGTTGAACTCGGTAGATCCAAAACTCAAAGTATACGAATAAAAAATTGCCTAAAAGGCACTAGGTGGCGCGTGCTCCTGTCAAGAGAGAATTAGGGTACTTGAATAGAACTGGTGGATTGTAGCCGTTCAGATTGAAGTGTGAGCAGCAACAAGTATACACAGTGAACCGTGACCAACAAAGGATCTTATGAAAAGAGTAAACAGTAGTTTTGTTTTGGAAGAATAGGTAAGCAAGATACATGAAAAAAGGCCCTGCCTTGAACACGGGTATCTGCTGTGTCAACCGTTAAAGCGAATAACAGGTGGCATTGAAACGGCGAAAAAAAGACAACAGAAACGGAAATAAACGGAAAAGAACCAGAAGCCAAGCTTATTTCTCACTGAAAGAGAGGAAAAGATGTCTTAAATGCTGCTTTTTCTTCTTCGATAAAAGCTCGTGACGATTTTGATAGGTGAAATTAATTTAATTAATGAATGGAAAGTTCAAATGGAACAAATTTAGATGAAACTAAACAATTGATCTGACAAGTGGAAATTACACTGGATTAAGACTAATTCCGTTCGAACCTAAAATGTTTTTCCTCGCAACATATTTTTCCTACTGATGAAGACAAAATTCACATTAATTTGATCTGATGGTTAGAAAAATAAAATTTCACTTGAAAGTACCCGACACGAGAAGCTTCTTCGCGACAGGTTGTTAGACAAAGGAAGAGGTTGGCGAAACGGAAAGTGATTTTAAAGTCATGAAACGGGTGAAGGAAGCTCCGTTGAAGAACGCGTTATGCAAACAATGAAACACAATGTGAACACTTCTTAAAAAAATTACAAATAAAACATGCAAGTATGGAAATAAGAATGCTCTTTTCATAATTACCACTGTTTACATGTCCGAGAAGTCAATAGAGGGACAAGTCTGGTCAGCGTCGTACACCAAATAATCATCGAATGTCGGTGTCTCCGGCAAAGTGGACGATGCTGACACGCCTAAGACACAAGTTGAAATAACGGGCTCTTCTTTGCATCTTGTGCTGTAAATAACTTCCGGAATCGCTCGCCACGTGCTGTTACTACTATGACTCCCGCTGATGCCAGACTTTGGAGAGAGCTCTTCTTGTGTCTCCCTGTAATTTAATTCCTGAGTAATATCAGGTACTTCCCAAGTCAAACTACTTTGAAAAGTATTATCTTGGAAGTTGGTTTCAAGTTTATGAGGAGGCGTGCGAGGAGGCGTAAATTCGGGTATTCCTGCTATGTGCTCTCTCGCTACCGGCGGGAACTGCAATTTCGGCGGAGTTCGGGCTCGGGGGATTTCAATCATTAATTGTCCATGTTGACTCGGAGCCGGAGTCGAATAGCACGGTAACAACGCTGGCGGAGGACCAGGCGGAATATCAGAACATGACGGGGCTTCGTAGCCTTCGCTTCCGTGGTGCACGACAGGCGACAGAATCTCCGCGGAGGACATCGTCATCATTTCTTGTAACCCATCGTTTACGTATGTCTTCTCTTTGATCCTTGACTGAAACTGGCGGATTTTTTTCCTGGCCAGAACTTGAATGTGACTGGCGACTTGTTTGCGAGTTCGAACTTTGCCAGTTTTCATGAGGATGTATCTCGCAATGAGCTCGTTTCTCCCGTACATCTTGTCTTTGGTTGACAACATTATCTTTTGTCTTCCACACGGCGGGTAGATTGCGAGCGCTTCTTGAAAACTTGTTTCGATTTCGCCCGTCCATAATCCCTCCGCTTCACCAGACATGTCGTAGACTACGGTAGAAAAAGCCGTGTTTTTAACACACTACCGTGTGCCACTGTTGCTCTCCTCGTATTCTGAAGAAGGATTTCTTTGACATGGACTCTGACACCTCACGGAAGCGGCAAAAGCTTTGAATTTTGAATTTATGATTCCGCCGTTATGTTACACCAACCAAAAGAGAAATATCACAAAAGTGAGATCGAAGCCGGCGCAGTTTTCAAGTGGACAGGCTATCCTAAACTACTACACTACTGTAATGGACAGCCCGCCCTAACGTACTTAGAGACGCTATCTTCCTTCTCTTTCACTTATCTCTATTTGACCAAAACCTAAAGCACTCCAGGTATATAGCGGTGGGTGCATTCATTATTAATCGGACTTCAGAGATCGCTTACCTTAAATCATTAATGCTCTTAGGAGTTAAAAGGTCCATTAAAATACTGCAACGAAAAAAGGAAAGCGACTACAGATAAAAGTGTTTCAACGCTGAACGGAAGAAATGAATGTTTAAAAAGTCATTTTTTGATGCATATTTGCAAGTATAGAGATGTGTATGAGGTGCAAAATTTTGGATATGAGCGGGTTCTATGAATCTAGATTGCCAATGAAAGTTTTTAACTTTCCCGCTTAGTTGAGCAATTCTGCCTTGATGCGCTCATTGGCATGTTTTCTACTACAAAAGGAGACAAAGAAAACAACTGAAAGAGCGCCTCCCCAGAAAAACTGTTCCGGGCCATTCAACACTTTCAGTTGAGAAGCCCACTGAGTGTCTATCAAAACGTGTCAGTAGATGTGGCGCAGACATTTGAGTCTCAGAGAGAGCGAGCATTTAGTGACATAAGAACTAGTGGCTATCGCCTTTTTCGAAGACAGCTCCGTTCTTCCGGCAGAATTTTGGAATTTATCGTTGAAATTTTCTCAATTTCTCTTTTCTTATCTTGCCCTTGGACACTTCTATAAGTGAAAAGGTTTCAGTGAGAAGGACTTAGAATAATTAGCGACCCGTTTAATTTTACGCTTCATTAGTGTTTTAAGCAAGCCAAGCAGGTGAGGTCGTAAATAAGTCACGAGTTAAGGGTTCTCCCTTGATCTCTGATCGTGCTGGTTGTTTGCACTCGCTGTACTCCCTACAATGATTTGCACTTCAGGGACAAAAAATACTGATTCAGACACTTGCAGTTCGTCCTCGAAAATCGTGTTCACCAATAAGTAATTTCTCATCATATCATCACTACGCTGTCAAACAGAAGGGTGATTAGAAGAATGAGAATAAAAAGAATAGGATCTATTGTCTAATTGAAACAAATTATTTCTCAGAACAAGAGTTATATGAAATGTGTGGCTAGCTGTGTAATACATCAGTATACTTAGATCTTGAGAGTAAAAGGGTTAAGTTATTCACCAGTATCGTTACCAAAGTAGTAAATAATCTGGTCTTTTATGTCATTGAGTGCGATCGCCCCTCTCGAGGGGTTTTCGCCTTGAGTTGCTTCAGATTTGCTTCTCTTCTCAAGATATTTCCAAAGATTAACTGCATTGATTAAGACTCCGTGACGCTCATTAACCAAGCAATGGTCAATCTATTTGACTCTTGTTTTTTCTTGTAAGTGAATTAAACATAGCATTTAAATTTATTTGGTTTTGTACATCACCCGTCAACGAGGTTCATAAACAAAACCTTCCATTTCTTTAAAAGTGCAACGTTTTGACACTTATTATGAAAACTACATCTCCAATGGACTTCGTGATTGGTTGGAAACTGTGCAATACCAGGTGATACCACCCATGGTTTTTCTTGACGTTTTCACCAATTATCCAAATGAGAAATATTGGGTGTTTGTCTAAACTTAACCTCTTTCCAACTGAAATTGGGAGCTTGGTAGAAACGATGTTCGTTAAAATGTTCCTGTTATGACCTGCTTCCTGCTCTAACGAGCGTGATAACATCGAGCATAACACATTGGTTCCAGTTCCGATCATCTGAGATTGTTATAAACAACACATGTCCTTGTCTTAAATATAATCCTGATAAAAAGCCATTTCTTTTAAAAATCATCTCATCGAAAATAGACAAGATATGTGTTATAAAACAAATCCAATTATTTGATTTTATCGATTGATTTTTTAATTATTGGTTGTCAAATCATAAAGACCCCAATTAGGAGTTATACCCTTAACTTCGAGACGCATGAATTGACGAAAATACTTTCGGGAACAGTCACAGAACCACTTCGAAGTATCACTAAGTGATGCGATTATCTTAAAAAGTCCATTTTACCATTGTTTTTTCTTTTTACGTTAAAGAAAAAACATAGCAAATATAATCATCACTGTAAAAATATTTTATAACGGCTGAAACGGCTGTGTTCCAAACTCAAACGATGTCGAGTACATTTTTTTTTATCGTAGAGTCAACTGCAATTCATTTCTTTTTAAGCCTGGAAAATAAGAAAGAGTACGAGTTCCCATCGTAGCAATTGAAAATGATATAATGTATTTGACTTCAGACGTCTTGGATAGGTTTTCAAGGTGACCACAGTGATAATTGACAGCTCTAACTATTTGAAGCAAGACACTCTTGACCGGCTGATTAAGTATTATTCTATGTTTACTGTGGGTCACTAAAACCGGAAGCCATCATCCTAAAGAGCAGCTTCATGCACGTTGTGTTCAAGTACAACGGAAAGGCAGAGTTTCCAGGCAGGTTACGAGACAAAGGGTGAGTAAAATTAAGCCGACAACTCTGACACATTGTCTGATTTGAGCCCCAACGAAGAAAAAACAAAAAACGCTAATTAAGTGTTGCTAGAGAGACAAAACGTCTTCTCTTGCGGTAAACTTTCACTTCCGATATTTCATGAGTAATTCTCCTTAGTGTTTGTCATACAATTAGTATGCTTTTGATGTTAGTTTGGAGATTTCGGTATTGGATCAACTAATAATCCCCTGATAGATATCCTTCTTAACTCTCATCACTTGTCCCCTGACGGAAGAAAACACCCAGTTCTCAAGCTGAACCCGTTTTTAACGACAATTCAGAGGAAAATAACCAAATTTAGCCCGTATCTCTCATAAAAGCCGACGAGAACCAACAACTGAAACTTGGTTTGGCGACAGTCCAAGGACGAGACGTGACGGTTGAGGTGAAACCTACTTCATTCGAAGGAACAGAAGCGAACAACTAAGCTGAATTTGTAAATCGAAATATTCACATCCGAAATTCCTTTGCTGTTTAACTTGGAAGACAACACGAAACCATGGAAACTAAGTACACTTTGTGTTAGTTGCAAAAGCAGTTGCCCACTGTATGAGCACAAAACGTTCTGGCATATAAACAAACGTTGAATTAAAAATCGGCAAAAATTAGACTGAGTTTTTTCTTTTATATGATCTACTTCTCTTTCTGGAAAGAAACGACGAAAGGCAAACTTGCACTTGTAAAGTAGAGAAAGTACTGCTGTTATTCAGAGCAAGAAGTTTCATTTCATTATAAAATGAAAAGAGTGACAAATTCTCCGAGTACATATCTATGAAATATGCAAAAACAAAAACGAAATCAAGAACACTATAATCAAATTTACATGCTTTATTAATCATTACTAAACGAAAAAGAAATGAAAAAGAGTGCAATACTAAAAAAGTTCTTCGTACATAGCACTTTTAAAAGCTACGAGTTGGCAGCAAGGAAAGTTCGTATTCTTATCAACAGGTCCCTCTTTACTTCGTCAGGGATCATAGCTGTGAGTGAAAAATAAAAAAAAAATCATTTAATTTCTAGGGCTGTGGTTGTAGTGAGGATGAACACATCCTGTGTTTAATGAATAAAGGGGGTAAGTTTCTAAAGAAACTGTGGTGCTGCGTCGGTGAGAGAGTATAGTAGGTAATTTAGTGTTAACAACCGAGTTGAAAACGTAAATTAGCCACCGTTAAGGGTAAAAAAGCTGACGTTACGAGCGTTAGCCCTTCGTCAGAGCGTTAGCCCTTAGCCATCGCTCTGATGAAGGGCTAATGCTCGAAACGTCAGCTTTTTTACCCTTTACGGTGGTTAATTTACGTTTTCAACTCAGATGTTAACACTAAATTACATCCTATGTTTGCTGTCATGTGACCCCTTCACTCCCACAAGGGACCAACAGTTAATTTCTCCTTACGATATCAATACATTTCCAAGCAGAAAAGGTGATGAGAAGAAAGAAAAATATCAAGAGGGAAGTCATATTCTCAGAGCTTAAATTATGAGAAATTTATGGCACTTAAAGTGAAGAATTGATATTTAGAAATGGGCGTGTCGGGTTAAGGTGGGGAAAAAGGAGGCTCAATAGTGAATGTGCTTATCTCTGGATAAAATTTTTCGGAAGGAGCATGAACTGCAGTCATTGTGCTTTATTCTTGGACAAGACACTTAACCGTCATAGTGCCTCTGATCTATGGCATTAAATCCCTGCCAAAAATTCAAATTTAAGTTGATTGTGATAAGGTATGAATTTGAAAGCAAAGAAGGAGTTCTGTTCCTAAAATTTCATTCCTAAATCATAAACATAACGTTTAACAGCAAAACTTGAATTTTTTCCTCAAGGAAAATAGTAAATGGGTACCAGTAGACTAACAGGGAAACTTGACCAAACAGTGGAGGTAACATGCAAAAGATACACATCTCAAGAAAGAGAAGAAGCAGTATTAATGTTCACTCCAAAAATCTGGATAACATCCACTGGTTACACCTGTATGAGTCAGTCTCACATGAATACAATTTACTGGTGTTATTATTCAAAGGACAGTTAGTGCTCTCCTTAAAATAAGTCACTAGCTTTGTTGATCCTCTTGTTTGAAAAAAGATGCTATCCATCAAAAATACTGCAGTATTAATTAATATGTCTGCTGATTGGCAAGCTACAGGGTTGCTCAGGTGTACTGCAAAATAACATGCACATCCAGTGCATGTAAATCCTAGGTATTGCACATGCAAAGTGTGCACCTGCATGTAATGCATAATGCAGGCATGTGAAACCACAAGGAATCAAGCCAACCTGGACTAAACTTATGTTTTTCTAGTATCAACAAATTATGCACAACTTTCCATTTTGTACATGAAGAGTCACAGAGGAGTACTCTCAACTACTCTTTGCACCTTAGGTTTGCAGTAATTTTGTTGAAAAAGTAGAGATTCATTTGATATCTATCTACCAAACCAGTTAATTTGCGAAAAAAAATACCCTAAATAGTTTCAAAAGCAGCAATTTTCACAAAAATGCCTTACCTCTTCCTTTCGGTGTTATTTCAGCCACTAGATCATCAACTGTCACATTTTCAAGTCCTTTTTGTTTGATGACATCTGCAAAAATCATAAAAAACATACATATGTATAGTTGCTCAAATTGTGGCTGCAAAAAATTGATTTAAGATATATATCTCATTAGACATTTTGATGTGCAGTATCACTGAATATTTTGACTAGCCTGCATGGTAATCAAAATACAAACAACAAGTAAACATGTAATAAGTTATTTATAATCCAACTACCAGTACTTTATTTTAAGCACAGTTCTTGTAAGGCAAGAAAAGTGAAGCAGATAGGGAAGCATTGCATGCTTAGCCGACCAGTCAAACAGGTTTTTTACAGTACAAAATAATTAACTGTCCAAATATTGTGTGATATTTGTACTCAATTGGCACGTGTTTTGTACCTTACTCAGTGCAGTTGGATAATAAACTTTTTACCTGCACCTTGAAAAACTAAGTTCCAACATTTCTGGCTTACCGTTTGAGCAGATTTTGATCTATTAGTTCACTCTCACCAAAAGAAAGAAACTGTAATTTCATTAAAGGGGGTAAGTTTCTAAAGAAACTGTGGTGCTGTGTCAGTGGGAGAGTATAACAGTGTAATGTAGTTTTATCATCTGAGTTGATAACATAAATTGGCCACCGTAAAGAGTTTCCAAGCTCACATTTCCAGCGTTAGCCCTTCGTCAGAGCATTATCTTGTGTAATTCCTTTAAGTATAGTTATCTTGTGTCATTTCATTGAAGTACAAAGGTAAAACAACAATTCAAAGGAAAAAGATAAACTTCTTTCCTGACCTTTACAGTGACTCCTTAACCTGTCCTGCCATCCACATTCTATGAGTTTGGTTCTCAGAAGTTCTTTCAATCTGCACACAAATTATGTCAAACGATTGTCAAAAACAGCACAATACAAGATTTACAGTTAACCTCGAAAGAGGCTGGACCAAACGGTAGTCAAATTATTTTTGATCAACAACCTGTATCTAGTTGTAATTTGCTATTTAGAAGTTTGTCCTTTAAAGGAAAAAAAAAAATCTTCCTTAAAGAACGATGCTAGTTATTCATTACTGGTTGGAAAAATCTGAATCCACTAAAAAGCTTTCACTCTTACACTTACAGATTTTGCGTAGAGACGCTTTATAGACTGGGTTACAGAGAGTTCAATAGCGAAAGAGGCTATGTACTAGTTTCATTAGACAAGTATTACGCATTCTTCTTAGATTAGCAACAGCGTATGTCAAAAGAAGGAAGAAAGGTTTCTGTCACAAGTGTCCCCACACAGTGTTAGGTTTACAAAACACATTTGAAATAACATTCAGTGCATCTGGCCGCGATACCTCTCCTTTAATCAATCTATCCTGGCTTTGGACGCCTTTTAAATACGCCAGCCACAATTCTACCCACAAAGTAACTAAGAATAAACCAATCTGCACGAATCGTATTCAAGCGCGTCCGATAAGACAAGGCTTAGATTGGACAAAGTTAACTTCAGTTTACCTCTCTCTTTCCCCGGATTCTACCAGCTTCTGGTGTACAGAAGAAGATAGCTGACTCTCCTTTAATCTCCTGTAACGAAAACGGATTTATTTAAAAGAAAAATAAACTAAAAATGATCAGCCAAAACTCTCAATGTGATATACGTACTCCACCATCTTGACGCTCGACAGATTCATGAATATATGCTGATCACGAAATTGTCGCACCGCAATCTTCGATCCCAGGTCCCTGCGAGGCACGGGTGGTTCAACTGATTCATCCCGGCTCATTGAAGACACTACAAATCATATTTGAACTAAAGCAGTTTTAATGATGGGGATAAAAACTACAAGATTTCTGAAACACAAGTCTTAACTTTAAAGCAGGTTATCAGGTAGAAAGTCTATCGTAAATCCTTTCTCAGGTAATCCTGGTTACAAAAGTCTAGTCACATCCTTTGAATAAAGTGGCTTCACCCTCTTCATCTTCATGATACTAGATGACCCTTCATGACTTTTAACAGGGTTTTTTCAAATTTTTTTTCAAAGATAATTATTGGATCTTTCAACAAGAAGTTTTGTTCCAAATTAAATTAATTCAGTCATGTGCTATCTTTCCTTAACACTTGAATTCCTTTACCTCCTAAAAAAACAACTCAATTTCAAACTTTTTATTATAGCAAAGGTCACCACACAACCACTCTAAGGAGCACGTGAAGGAAGATATAGAATTACAATAAACACTTCAAATAGGGCTTTAGATAACTCAGACACATATTTCTACTGAGGCAACACAGCATAAGTAGTTGTTTCCCTGACTGTGGGTGACCATTAAGCTAAATTTCAAGACTGCCGATCCATGGATCGTAGGAGGGCAAAGAACTGTAAAGACATGTCTCACCCCAGTCATATTATCTTTTCATAATATATTTTCAGCAAAGCTCACCATAAGCCCATTAGCAAAGGTTCATTGGCAAACAAAGGGGAGAGGGAAAGGAAAATAACCTAGATGAGGCACAGTCATTCTGTTAGGAACTGAAATAAGGATCCTCATTCATATTCTCTGAGCCTTTCATGTTGTCTTTGCCCTTTACGAATGAGTTTAATGCCCCCTCTTCCTTGAGTGGGTAGGTGGAGCTTCTTCACTAACACAAGACAGTTTACTTTTAGTAGGCAACCTTTAATAAAATATTTTCAATCACTAATGACAAATGCAGTTTGAGCAGATCCACCCTGAATTAGCTTGTTAAAATACAAGTAAGAAAAAAGACAGTTATTTAGAGCTGGATGAATAGATGTTTATATTTTCTGTAGAGTTAGCATTTTTTTTTTGTTTCAAATATTTGTTTTCCAGTGATCCTCTCATCAGTCAAATGCTGTGTCATAATAACATGGAAACACTGGCTCATGTTGTCATTTTTTAAATCCAGAATACATTTCAGAATATCTTCCTTGTGTGTAGTCTCACATGAAACAATCTCTGACCTAGATTGCACAAGATGGACATCCTAACTGGATATCTTTCACTGGCACACAACTTTCATCCTGAAAAAGCCACAATGTCCATTTAAATTAAAGAAAACATTACCTAGATCTCTCTGTGGACTGGAAAACTGAAAGACATGCTATTTTACAAGAAGCATAAAAAGTTTTCCTAATTTCTTTAAGGTGCTTCAAAATTCATGGGTGTTCTCCTGTCAACTTCTATAGTACATCCATACATTTCAGGCAAGAACATATCAAGCTACAAGTTTATAACTGAATGTTTGGTCTTTTTCTATGCCTGGCCATTTATGACTCCCCACTTGTGAGAAAGTTTACATCAACAAACAGCCCTTCATTTTCATTGTCCATTAGCAGCCCTAAATTTCCACTTTGCATTCATGATTCAAGCCCTGTCAGACCAAAGTACCCTTTGTATCTCATTACGGAACTATCTTGTTCCCTGCTTGGACTGTTGGTATAATTTCCTGTCTGTATTCCAATGGTAAATACTTTTCAACCAATGAGAACAGTGACTGCTTGTCAGTTATAAATCCCTGTCTGGAAAAAAACAAACAAACAAACAAACAAAACATCAAGATTTCATTAGTACTTCTCCTTACTTTTTGCTATGCAATTCTTCTGATTGTTATTGGATCAACCAAAAATCCACTAATTGATATGTTTCTTTATTCTAATCACTTGTCTGCTTGATGTTGTGATGATAATGTAGGGAGAAGTTCTAATGTGATCACTCATTGGAAGTTACGAGGTTAAGCACTCTTATCTTTTCTGTCTCTGCTCTGAATGCAGAACCTCAAGAACAGAAAACAAATCAGGTTAAACTTCCCACTCAGTGAGTAAGGGTTGCACCCTCAAAATCATCCCAAAGTCCCTTTTAGTTTGAGTGTTTATCTAAGCACATATTAAATTTCCAAATGCAATCCCTTTTTATGCTTTAATAAAAAAGGTAAATTTCCCAAAATTTTTTCAATGTGCTTCTCCTTAAAATACATGTGTATCACATGAAGTTTCTTTATTTACATATATGATAGATGAAGTGCCAATACAAACCTTTTCATGAGAAGTTCCACATCAGCCAGCTCAATGGTTGATCTGTGAGCATGCTTACAGTAAGCCATCAGGTCACTCGATATTTGCTTGAAAAACAGGTTTGACCTGGAAAACAATAAAAAAAATTAGCTTTTTAACCCTTGCACATATTTATGTCAGAAGAACTAATTTCACCCCAAGCCTTCTTTTTAAGGTACAGTCTGGTAAATTCTAATAACTAGACAATATACATGTAGCCATTAAAGTTCAGCCACTCTGGCAAGCATAGTAAGTGCACTTGATTAAAGAGGGTCTTAATTTGATGGGTGTTCAGAATTAAGGTTTGAGTGACCTAAAATCCAATGTCTACTTCTCCCTTTGTCTCATAAGGGAAAACAAGACAACTTGTAAGGAGAATCTAGTAGTCTATCATCAGAAGTCAATTGAAGTTTTAAATCTATGCTCCCCTCAATTGTCTTCTTGTTTACAAGTGATAATTTACCACTTCACTTGCTCATTCTTATAAAGTTGATAAACTTAACTTTCATAATTACCCATTTTCAACAGCTTGAAGAGCCTCTTTTGAGACTTTAGCTTGGCTAAAATGCTGAAAAATACCCTTTATAAGGGCAGGTGGCATTCTTGGGCCTAAGGGCTTCCTTAAAATATTAAAAGAAAAAAATCACATGAATATTAAAAACATCTTTTCATGAAGTTTTAAACAAAAAAAAATTATAGTGCAGAAAAAAGCACTCTGTGTGAAATAAAAGTTTCAGTAACTGTAGAGTGAAGCAAGGACGAGGCTTATCACTTCTACAAAATTGCAAACAAATAAGATTTTCTCCCTACAAATTAACACCAAATCAAGCACACAAGAGATGAGAATAAAGAAAACCATTAATTAGGATATTATTAGTTGATCCAATACCAAGTTCTCCAAACTAAAATCATAAGAATTGTGGAGCAAACAGCGAGGAGAATTGGTATTGAGATCTTGAGAGTGAAAGGGCTGAGCTGACTTACTTCTGTATTAAATGTCATTCAAGCTCACTCACATAAACTGAGTGTTGGAAAAAAAAAACAGTAGATGTAGTCATAGCTGAAAGTAATGTCATCCAGGTATGTGTATCACCAAGAGTGAGGAGACATGAAGGTCTTCACAATACACAGAGAAACCAAAGAAAAAAGAACTTACTTTGCAACTTTAGTTCCTTCCCTTCCTTTAGGATGTTTCCCTTGAAACAGCGGTCTTTTCCCTTTGGAACTAATTAAAAACATTGACCCTTTAACTCCTGAAGTGATCAATGCTATTATAACAATATATTATCTAGCACACCGGGGAAGAGAATACTCAAGCTTATCAGGTGGAGGTTGTCATTGTGATCTAACCCCCAATTCTTGTAACTAATTTACAAGGAAATGTATGGCACCTAGAGAGGAGAGTTAACATTCAGAACTTGGGAGAGTTAAACTTCATCATTCAATCAAAGCAAAAATAAGTGACCCTCAGAAGGAAATCAGAATTAAGTTATTTGTATGATAAGAAAGAATAGTGGACAGTTATGAGATTATGAACAACATGAAACAAATTTATCTGCTGCATCCACCATACCCATTCACTTGGTTTAAATGTGGTAATATGCATATGTTCAAATGTAACTGTATAAATTTTCAATTGTCCTTAACACTATACCACTTAGCTGTAATAGTATATACCTGCATGACATGAAGAGCATAGTCTAATGCTGTCATAACACTGTTTTCAGAGTCAAATAAGTTTTTGGTCAAAAACCTATTTTTTATTGAACTAATTAACCCACATCTGTAGTTTATTTAATAACTAAAGCAATAGCACACTTTCTATCAGTTCACAAGCATAATAACCCACTCAGGATGTTTAGAGAACAATCAACACTCCGGCTTGTGATTTATGAACTTTTCTTGTGTTCTTCCAACATCTCACAAGGGTTATTACACTGAAAGACCAATTGAAAGTGCAGCCTATGGGTTAATGCATGCAGGTAAATGCAACATTTTGCAGTCTCAGTCAATTTTTCTTAAACCACTATACACACTGAAGATTTTTTGTCACCTCTCTTCATTAATATTTCTTGACTGTTCCAGCCTCTCACTCCCTGGCAAAGACACATTAAGAGGCAGCTGAGGTGTGACCAGCTCTCTCCATGGACGAGATGTCTGCATGCTATTGTCTGTCCTTTCCAGGTCTTCCTGCAGACTTCCCAGTAATGGCAGAGAATCAACCTCTGGTTGTGTTCCCTCAGTTATTCTGCTACTGATAAATAATTTTAAAAATCAATGCTGGTGGTCTGCTGGTTTCTCATGAGGATGAGAAGTATAAATTCTGATTTTTACAGTTTTAAACATGGTTCTTATTTAATACCATCCAAGAAAGGGATACTGGGTAAATGGAACTGTTTATTTCTGGCCTATTTACATTGATAAAAGGGGCTACATTTTTAAAGCAATTGTGTTGCTGCATCAGTGGGGGAAGCTAGATAACTTTAGTTTTATCAACTGTGTTACAAATGCAAATTGCTCACTATAAAGAGTGTCTAAGCTGACATTTCAAGCATGAGCCCTTCATCACAGCAAATGACAATGGGCTGATGCCTTGCTCTGACAAAGGGCAAATGCTTGAAATGTCAGCTTAGAACTCTTCACCATGGCCAATTTACTTCATCAACTTAGTTAATTATCTTGCTATCCACATGTATATTGATATTGGCACCCTTTACCCTTTTTCTCCCAATATCTCTTTAGTAATTCTCCCTACTGTCTGCCATACAATTCTTAATATATAGATTTAGCCAAGCCTAGAAGCGGATCTCTTATTAGTTTATTTTCCAGCCCTACGTTACACTGAATAAAAACTGTAATAAAACTATCTACTGGCAAGTCTCTGTGTCAGTTTGGTGGATTTGGTATTGGATCAACTAATAATCCCCTAATTGATATTTTTCTTTATTCTCGTTACTTGTCTGCTTGATTTTGTATTGATGTTGTAAAGGGAAATTCTCTCTTGGTTACTTACAGGAGTGAAAGGGTTAACTGTTCTAACAAGTCCCCTCGTGAGTACTCAGAATTTTTGCTTTGTCCCACACTCGAGACAAGACAAAAAAACATATTTCTTTATAATGTCTCATGTTTAAAAACTTTGTTAGTTTCCACTTTAACCCTTGTAATTTTTTGGCCAAATAATTTCATTTGATATGAGGTTTCATCTGAAGCTGGCCTACACTTCAAGATAAAAGAAGCTCAAATTATAGCTCTCAATAAGTTTTAAATAATGTTTGTTCCTGTCTCCCATAAGGTCTTTCTTTGTCAAGAAGCCATGAAGATTGATAAGTCCCCTTGGGGTTAAAAGGAGCATCAACAATGACTCATGTGAATTTAAAATGACTTTAAAAATCTTACATCCCAGCAGCACTATCCATTTCTATATAGGAGTCCAACACCATTGGAGTTGTTGCTTCTACATGTGTAGAATGATCTGCAGGATGAGAACTTGTCGTAGCAAACATGTGACCATCAGCAACACCACTTGTTGAAAGAGATGACTGTTTTTCTTTTTCACTCAACTGGTGTGGTACTTCTTGATCTACTTCATCTGAAGATTCTGGAATTACTGGTTCAACTGGTGTCTCTGTTAATGCTAAAGGGAACAAATTCATGAGATCTGTTTCAAAATTCTCCTTCTACCTGCTATACATTTCTACTGAAATGAGTCAAAAGAATTTGGAGTTTCTCAATGAACACTTGTCAACTGATAATTTGACAACTCCCATAACTTTTTTTATGTTTGAAATTGAAAGGAAATGATACATTTCATCACTTCTAGGAGCTAACAGTTAAATCTTTCAACAGAACCTTTCAGGAAGAGAGGACAACTCAAAAATAACAAAGATGTCCAACCCAAACCTTGTTACAGTCACATAGAAGGAAAGGTGATTTTCAAAACTGTCTGTCAAAAATAACTGTAAATACAAAGTACACATCAAGCAAAAGTTATCACCTGGTATAAAGTAACTACACCTATACATGTACCTTCTCGCAAGAAATTTTGAATAATTGTTCTAGGGGTATTACCCCCAGCTTGAACTGATAAGCGAGATGATCTTCTTCTTTCTCCCCCAATGACCTTTTGTCTCTGCCCTTTCACTACACTTTTGGCAACTGGAGCCGTTTCTAGAAAACCAGCAATCTAAAAAAAAAAAAATTTCAAAGCTTCAGCCCTGAGAAATAACATTAATTAACTGTCAGTAATTAAGAACACCAGTTTAATGGAGATTGCTTTGAGATGAAACAAATATTCCGAAAAAAAGAAACTCTGGAAAATTTGAAAAATTCTCCTTGTCAGCACCTTAGGAAATGTGTAGAGAACAGTATGGAGAATATACATACTGATGTTAGGGTAAAAAGCATTAAAAAATTGCAAATATTATATTCCAAGTACACATAACTGTCGCTTACAATTGATATTGCAAGAACAAACCACAAACTGACACAATTTCCGAACGACTCCATACTTCATTATGTCTGAAGTTATTTTATGGGAAAAAGGACGAAAAATAGTTCACTTTTAAGAATACTTTGTTTTAGAATGGTATGGAGTTATACGGAAATATTTTCAACAAACTAATCACTTCTCAAAATGTTGGCAGTCAAATCGATAAATTACGATACTGATAAAAAAAAAACCAAAAACAAAGCTAGCCTACACATGGATCATCATGCATGAAATTTTAGACATACGATTATAGCTCAAGTAAATCAACAAAGGGGCTAAGTTTTAGATAGGTTTAATCTCTATTACAAACGAATCAAGTTAAGTCGCGGCATACCAAAGTTCTAGGAGTTGTTGAGTCTGAAGGAGTAGTACCCGGTGCAGCTTTTCTCTTCCTGTTCCTAGTAGATCGAGTGAGCAACCGACTTGCAACTTCAGAATGGGACGGAGGATTCGTTGGTGTTTCTCTTACACTTGATGTACTGAGCGTTTCCTTTGACCTCAAAGCTCGAGCACTTTGACTTACATTCTCTGTTATCAAAACACCGCGAATAATTCCGCGAGGAGTAGCTTCATCGATATCTTCCATAGCTCTGAAGTGTTTCTATTATATGATTTCTGCTGTTTCACCTTTGCAAGCCTGACATTTCAAACGATTCTTGTCTACATATGCTACATATGGCGTAAAACTGTTCAAATTTTGGAAACTATTAATTCCTCTTTTAGAAGTTATTAAGAACCTAAAGCCTGAAGAAAGCTGAATCGCACTAAAATGCGTTTGTTTTTCGGACTGTTCAATTTACGCCATGTTTGTTTGTAGTTGGCGCCTTTCCGGTCCCTGTGCTTCAAGGGAAATCTCTTTAAGCCTGGTTACTAAGCCTCATGCAAAGTCATTCTGTCCTTGCGCTTCGAGGGATTTTACTTTCTCGCTGAATTTAGCCAACTAAAAAATCGTAAAAACTAAACAGACATGTCAGGGGGGTCTTATGATAGGGCTATAACTATATTTTCACCTGATGGACATCTTTTCCAAGTGGAATACGCTCAAGAAGCCGTAAAGAAGGGTTCCACTGCTGTATGTAAAAAACTTCTTCGTCGGTGTTTTCATTGTGTCGAACAACTTCTCTCCTTTTGTTAATTTTCTGCGAATCGGAAGATTGATAAAGAACTATTTTATAGGTTGGAGTCCGTGGTAAAAACATTGTTGTTCTCGGAGTAGAGAGAAAAGCGGTTGCCAAACTTCAAGAACCAAGAACAGTCAGAAAAATCTGTTCGCTGGATGACCACGTTGTCATGGCTTTTGCAGGTAATGGAGTATTTCTGAAAAGAATCAACAATTTGTCCTTCCTTCAAGATTTTTCGTCATTTTTTATCAGGTTTGACGGCGGACGCTAGAATTCTGGTGAATCGAGCTCGGGTCGAGTGTCAAAGCCATAAGCTAACCGTAGAAGATCCTGTGACATTAGAGTACATAACAAGATATATTGCGACGCTAAAGCAGGTACGAAGAAACATATTTTTTTTCCTTTTGGTGCGATAAGTTTGATTTCATGTAGCATCAAGAAAAGGATGCGTAGGTTTTTTCTGAGGTGATAGACCGAGTGGTGGACACAATCACGGGAAGTATTTATTTAACTAAATTTAACCATAAGTTATTGTCAAATCCCATATGGTCTAGTGGTTAGGATCCGGCGCTCTCACCGCCGTGGCCCGGGTTCGATTCCCGGTGTGGGAACGACATATCTTTTTTTTTTCTTTGCATAGCTTTTCACCATTTTTGTCTTGTGCATATTTACTCTTTCTAACCCCAACTAAATGTTATTTTCTATTTTTATCATTGTTGATTAGCGTTACACTCAAAGCAATGGTCGCCGCCCTTTTGGTATTTCTACACTCATTGTTGGATTTGATTATGATGGTACACCTCATCTTTATCAGACTGACCCATCAGGAACATATCATGCATGGAAGGTAGTTAAACTGTAATCATATCAACCTTATATAGTTACATAATTTAATATTATCAACTGAGTTAATAGCTATAATTGACTGACAGATAAAAAGTTACTCCCTGTTAATTACTGAATTTTTCAAGACCAGAACCTAATACCTTAGCCCTTTAACTCCCAGAAGTGATTTACAAGTAACTTCTCCCTACAATTTCTATTCACTATCCAGCAAACAGGTAGTGAGAGTGCTCAAATGTATCAGGTAGAAGTTGTTATCTTGATCTAATGCCAAATTCTTGCAACTAATTTACAAGGAAATGTGTAGCAGCTAGAGTGGAGTATTAACAATCAGATCCTGGGAATTAAAGGGTTAAGTACATGGAGAGTTCAGGGTCTGAATCAATTATAAATGGCTTGTTAAATTGGAAAGGTTCAGTTGTCACCTTTTGCCTGACTTGTTGGAGAACTTCAACTCTGAAACTGCTATGGAAGTACTTAGATTCAGACACCAAATGCATTGATTGGCAGTTATTCTGGAAAAGTATCCACATTGGTTACAATATTGTAAATTTTTTTAACAGTCAACTCTCTTTGAGTTTGCAAAAGTCTCATAACACAAAAAGTCTTGAACTCAACATGATAACTGCAATATCCACTGCAGATATTGCATTTATGACATGAACTTCACACACACTTTTCCTTTATAATGCATTTTTACCTCTGTACCTCTATCATTTGTGTATCTTTTATTTATCAGGCAAATGCAATTGGACGCAGTGCAAAAACCGTTCGTGAATTTCTAGAGAAACACTACACAGAGGAGGTAGCTGACTCAGATGATGAAACAATTAAACTAGCTATCAAAGCTTTACTTGAGGTGTGTAAATTTTTGTGGTTTATGATTTTCTATTAACAGAGTAACAGGTGTATCTGAAGTGCCTGTTGTGGTTTTTTGCAGGTGCAACTGTTACTAAGTTGTTTCAAACAGGTGGTGCCTATACTCAAAAATTCAGTGCATGTGAAGACAGTCTATGATCAGTTAACATGTTTTTGCATGTCTGAAAGTGGATTACAACTTATTGTCAATTTGTTTAGCATGTTTTGTCATAGGACCATACATATGACAACAGTATTACCCTTGCAGGTGGTGCAGTCGGGAGGAAAGAATATTGAACTTGCTATTATGAGAAATGGTGAAACACTCAAGGTAAACATTTACTTGTCATTAACCACAAGTAAATGGAGTCTTACATCACATATACTCTGTTGCAAAACTGTGCTGGTGCATTATTAGAGAGATTTCTTGTCCCAAGTAGTCAGTTTCTTGGAAGAAGAGAAAAGACAGATTTTACACATTGCCTTAGCAGGATTGGAATCAGTTCAAACCACATAAGAACCGTTTTTTATTTCCTTACATTATTCATATTTTGATCTTACAACCAGACACACTTAAGTTGCAAGAATCCTCAACAGATGGAAAAGTTTCATTGGTGCTTATTTCAATCTTTGTGTGTCTTGTCATTCAGATACTACAACCAGAAGAGGTTGATAAATTTGTTGAAATCATTGAGAAAGAAAAAGAAGCAGAAGCTGAAAAGAAGAAGAGAGAAAAGGCATCAGGATCAGCTAAATAAATAGAATGGACATTCATCTTTTATTTTATACTCTCATATTGCTGTTTTGAAACTGGCTTGATTCTTCCATTTCTGATATATTGGCATTTGTGACAACTGAATGGTACCATTCATTACCATATAGGGTGAAGCAATAGCAAATCCAAGCAACTAAGTTGCCAAATGTTTCAATGGTTATTGTTGGGCTTTCAAGAGCAATAGAAACAGCTTACTTTTCTTTTATTGCCCAGAGCCCTCACAAATAAAAGCAGCAATGAGTACAGACTAAGTATTGGTGTGAAGTACTTTTTTAAAGTTTTTGGTTTTTTTTTTTAACTTAAAAAAGCTCAAAGAAATACCACAATCGTGCTTTACTAAACTGGTGATGAATTCCTGGACATCAAAGAGCATTTCTTTTGAGAAGAAAGGCCTGCGAGTGAGGACACTAGAATGGATTCTTACATATTCCTTTACACTTGTCAATCCAACAGGTGTTGGGATATGGTGCAAAACTGCAGTTTTCACCTCTGAAAAATGTGAAAAAAAAGTACTTGGAATAGTTTGCACATGCATTGTGTTCTTAGTCTAGATAAAAGGAAAAGGGTAACTTGCCTTTTTTGTAGGGTTATGTTTACCAGGAAAGAGAAAGATTAAGTCTATTGGTTATCAAGTGTTACAAACTGAACAGCACATAGTTGATCATTTCAGTAGGCCAGATCTTAAGCTGACAGTCTCACAAACTGACCAATTATCTGCTTTCTCAGTACTGATTTACAATTTTAGTTTGACTCCCAATTTGAGAACTGATACATGGACTTTGCTCCTCACAAATGTAGAGTCTGTAACATTTCTATCATTGGTTTTTACTTTGTTTCTGTCTTCTCAACTGAGCTGTTTAAACATCAACAACATTGAATCCTAAAACATTTATTTTCTTTTCATCTCACAATGTAATTGCATTAACTCTTGAACTCCTAGAGGTGATTAACATGTGACTTCTCCTCTAATATCCATACATTATCCACCAAACAGGTAATGAGAATTCTCAAACTCAATTGGTTGAAGTCTTTGGATCAATATCAGCATCTGACCAACTGTGAACCAACACCTCTCTTAAACTAACAACAAGTTAAGGTTGATGTTCAGTTAGGGGAGGGGTGGGTGCAGAATTGCTCAGATACTGATTTTGATCTAAGTGTTATCTTGATCTGACACCAAATTCTCATAACTTGTTCATGAGGAAATGCATAGTAGCTAAAGGGAAGAATTTACATTTGAGGTCTTGGGAGTCAAGGGAGTAATGCATGAACTAACAAGAGAACAAGTCTATGATGACTCTTAACTTGCTGATTGAAATCCGAATGTAGTTTTGTTATTGTAACTTTGTTTGATTAATTTGTTTGTTTTGAAGATCAAAAACAAACTCCAGGCAGTTGAAAGTTATTGAAATCTGAAGTCTGCACATTTGTCTTATTGATTGTGTTGGCCATTGTATTTTCCACAACATTGTTTGATACATTTACACAACACTTTCTCATCGTATACCATGGGGTGTCCCTGGAGGACCTTGTATTTCCATAGCGTCTTGTATGTCTACCAATAATATACAAGTAAAGGGAGGGATATGCCATGATAAACCACTCTAAAGAGTTTCTCATCTACCATGTACATGTTAGAAAGTTGATGTGTCCACTTTAAAAAACAAGGCATACAGGGCAACTTGAACTACCAGGGGAACAAAAAATTCTGTAAATGTATCCAGCAGACAAAGATAATCTGCTACTATTTACAAGTCATCATGTGTCTTTTCAGTCATGGATGACCAATGAGTATTCAGAGATATCTTTAGCTATCAAAACAATCCAATTAGTTGTTTAAAATCAATCCTGAGTAAATATTTTGAAAGCTTTCTTCAATACCATTCAACAGAATATTTTTGTTCAGCTCTGGTTAAAAAAGTTTTCAAAAGCTCAAGCTTCTGTACAACTTTTCTGATTTTCATCCGATGCATTTTTTCTCAGCTAGGGGAAGGCTATACCACTTAATTTAACGGCCTGTTGTCATGAGTAACATTGACCAATCAGCTGTCCCATTTCTTGGCTGATGCTGTTACAAACTTGTCAGAGGGGTTCATAGCATCCTCACGTTCAAAGGTCGGTTGTGCATTTGGTTTCTTTCCAGGTAAGAGCATGAGAGAAGAAAAAGAAACTAAAAGTGGGGCTTGCTTAAAGCATTCTCTTCTTTACTTTTCTGTACTTAGCTTACCTGACTGCCAATGGTTAAATCATTTTTGCATCTGTCCACACATATCATTCAAATCAACTGTCAATCAAATGTTATTGAGAATGTTCATGAGAAAATAATTCTTTCCTCTCCTTAAAGTCGATAATGCACGATGTCATATCTCCTTTTAAAACATATGATATCAGAACATTGATCTCTTGAAGGGTTAGGAAAATCAGCAGAAGGGTAAAATTTCATTTTCAGGTCATAAGCCAACAATCATCTTCATCACTCTGCTATGGGACTCAACAGTACAAGACCCAAAAAAAATTGTTCTAAGCTTCAATATCAAAATTCACGACAGATAAAAATGTTCTTTTTCCTTAACTTGAATTTCCAACTCCATTGTTAAAAGAACAGTATGAAATGTGTATTTAGACTTTGTCAAAATGGTATTGAACTGAGGCTTTCTTTTACCTTCGATTCAAAAGAAAAAATGTCGGGAATTTCGATTAAAATGATTGTCTGATTGCTCTCATTTGAGGAATTTAAAAAAAGGTCATGCAATTTCTCGAGTGCGTATTATTCGACATGAAAGAAGCTATGCACAGTATCCAATTTCCTTTCCTAGGAGCAAATTCAATCAGGTTTCCACAAAAAAAAAAACCACGATTTTTTTTTCGAACGGACGTCTGTTTGGTAAAAGGAAGCAATTCAAACTCTATTTCAGAATAATTAATAATCAAATTTTGTCGTATGACCTCAATGGTGAAGAATATTATTCAAAGGAAGAAAAGCGACTTTTACCCACCACAATGCTCGCTTCTAACGAGTGAAAATGAATACATAACATTTGACAAAAGACTGCCAGCACCTCGATCCCTTCACCGGCACACTTACACAGGTTATACTTTTTCATCCTTCAACTACTTGAAGTGAAGTTTACTAGTACTTACTAATGACTTGTCCTTACAAAACTATCTAGAAACCTCTCGGCCTGGGGGCGATATGTCTTTTATTGACAAAATACCGAACTGATTCTCTTTTATCAATTGAGGAGAAAATCCATGGCAGCTAGTGGTGAGAATCGAAAATCGTACCTTAGTAGTTTGAGAGTAAATCATTTTTTGTGATCTCAAGTTAAAAGAAACTGCACAAAAGATTTGAAACGTGAACAATCCACCCACTATTTCCAGTTTTCAATATATTTTTACAATCATAAGTTCATTTTGTTCCTTCTTTGGGAATCAGATAGAACTTCTAGGTGAGTTGCATGTCTCTCGCTAGACAACTGAGCCATGTTAAAGAAAAAAGCTTTCAGAAAACCTGAACGAATTTTAAAATTTTTTAATAAAGTAATATACCAGTTTTCTGTTTAAGACAGTGTCCTGCGGGAAGGGTCTATGTCAAGGATCAGTCGCTCTTCGGCCTCGTGTTCGTCTCATTCTTGTTCTCTGTCACTTCTTGTTTCCTGAACAGTCCAAAAATTTGAGTGGAGAAAAATGTCATTAGAGTCCAAAATCCAAAATCGGCCACTAGTGTCCCACATCCAAAATCGGCCACTTGTGTCCAAAATTCGACATCGGCCACTAGTGTTCCAAATCCAAAATCGACCACTTGTGGCCAAAATTCAAAATCGGCCACCAGTGTCCTAATTCCAAGATCCAGTTCACCAAAGGTAAAGAGAACTTCCCGAGGTTCAAACCAGGTTTTCATTTTTTTATACTCTGATTGAAAAAAATCAGTTTAACTCTTTCGCTCTCAAGATCTTATCAGTAATTCTCGTTACTGTCTGCTATTCAATTCTTATGATGTTAGTTCCGAGAATTTGGTATTGGATGAACCAATAATCTCCTAAATTATCTTTTTCTTTATTCTCATCACTTGTCTTCTTAGTTGTAAGGATAAATTGTGAGGAGAAATTCTGTACAGTGAATGGTTTAAATGTGGGGGTAACATGTAATAGTGTAGTTTGATCTTTCGGGTCAGAGTAGTCCTGAGGAAGACTGTCGTCTTTAGTAGTGAGTGACGTTTCGACAACCTGAGCAGGAGTCGTCATCAGAGTCAAGTGAATAGTTGTTGCTAGTTGAATTTTCTAAGTCCGGTTTGTATAAACTGATTGGTCAGGTAAGTCGACTTACAAACCACACCATTGACTGGGACTCTGGGCAATGCCTAACCTATAGCACCAACTACTTTCAACGACTGAATCTGGAGAGCTGGTTTACTAACTTAGAACAGACTCCCCTCAACGGGTGTCAACCACTACCGGCACCATACAAACAACTCATTCACGACAGTAACATAACAAACGAAAAGAGCAGAACGATCTAACTTTACTAACGAATCGAGATTGACCAATCACAAGCGACCTACGCCACTTGAGTCTTACAGCCAATAACATCACGGCAAACTGAGCAATCAGTTTATACAAACCGGACTTACAAGATTCGACTGACAACAACTGTTCACATGACACTGTTCGCTTCTCTTCACCAAGACATTGAAATAAGAATGATGACCAAATTGTGACCTGACATCAAAGAACACTAAAATCATCACGATAGTTATTAAAAATTCAGCTGAAATAGAAATCCGCGTATCAAGCACTACCTCGTCCATGATATTAGCGAAACTTTACCGAAAATTTTCCTCTATAGGTGGATATAATTTAACAGTAAAACCAGTTGAGCCATCATTTAAGGTGTTTCCACAGCTTTTGTCACTTCTATATGGCAGCAGAAAATCCACTTTCTCGTCTGCAAGATCCAGTAACATCATCAACACGTGTGATCCTATACTCTGAATTTAGTTGTATTGAGCCTTTGTTTGATGTCATGTTACAGTAACTAGCCAAGTTGGCATAAGGCTTTAAGCTCCACAATTGACAACGATTTTAACCTGAAACGTTTCTTTTTCTCTCCTAAGTTTAGCTATTTCTTGAAAATTATTTATGGTTGCTTGCTATATCAAGTGATGAAGTCGTCTAACCGATTGTCATTAGTGCTGTTTCTTGCTGCCATGATACAGACAGTTAACAGATTTATTAAGACCATCAAACAAGTTCCTATTAGGCACGAAAGACCCTCTGTGAATGCATTTTGAGATCGGCGAAATATGAACAAAAATCTAGACAAACAATTTCCGCTTTACAAGATAAGTCATAAGAATGATTGTTTATCAAATGAGAATACACACGAAAATGAAACTGAGATGTTAACAGACGGAGATTGTTTTGGCGGGTATGTTAACAAAGTAGTCTCAATTAAAGCAGTCTCTTTTACTGAAAACTAAGCAGGCCCAGGAGTATAGCTTGGTAATGTTTGTGTTTATTGAAAAGCAATCATCAGAAAAATTTTGTGACCGAACATAACAAGTGATCGGTCTACTTAGGTGTTGTAACGAAACGCAGATATGGTAACGAAATGAACATTTTTAAGTTTAATGGAAGTGTTCCTTTATCTGGTTCTTGTCGATTTATTTTTCTAACCTCCTAAAAGTGAAGTTTTTCCTGGAAACGTTGTTTTTGTCGACCCAGCTACCAAATTAATAACTCTCCTACCAATAGTTATTTTGAGCAGACTGCGCATGTGAGCTCTCGCCCTTGGTAATAAGGCGGACACGATGAGAAAAACCCACAATTACCTTGCACCAGATACAACAATGCACCATCATGACTGCCAAAACTTCCTGGTACCGACTCTGGATCCGAATCAACACATACGAAATTACTGGGATTTTGGTGGTCCCAATGTGCTGTCATAAGGTAACCATGATACTCTTCGTGCCAGCCATTAGGGCAGTCATCCCTTGCGGGCATCATGACTTGTGTACCTCTTGATCCGATGTAGCACACAGCACAGGGGACGTCGTGATTATGCACATTTCTTTTGAAAGGATTAAATGAGCTCATTTTATACTCAGTGCCATAGATGGCCCCCGTCCTTTCAAAATGATCGGTGAACTTTCCATATTTTGGTTGGTTTGGCAGGCATATATGATTTACTCCTCCTCCTGTGTGACTATGGTGACCACTCCCCACGAAGCCTGGGAAAGAGATGAAATGAAACGCGAGAGCTTCAATTGGAGCGGAACCGCATAATGATTGCGGACAACATCAGAACGAGGATATTAGAAGGTAACAAATTTAAAACAACACATCTGATAGTCGACTCAAAAACGGAGTGTATATTTTACCAATACCTATTTCAAAATGAAATTTAAATGCATAGCAAGAGATTATGAACTGTTTATATTATCTTGTTTAGCTCTAATCAAAAAAATACTGAATTATTTTTATTAGCTGCGACTTACCCGAATACACAATCTGAGCATCTCCCTCACAGCTTGTCCGGCCCCAGCGCACGTAACTGACTCCAGACCTCCCCTGCCCTTCTTCTCCCTTTTGTCCTTTAGGTCCCGGATCTCCTTGCCTCCCAAGTTTTCCATAAGGACCATTGTCTCCTACAGAATATACATTTGCCAGTAAATTAACTTTGTTATACCGGACTAAAAAATAACATACCGTTGAATTGAAATGGGTGCTACGAGCCCCTTTCGGAATAACAAACGGGAGTCAATGAAACCTTTTGGACCAGGAGGTCCTTGTGCTCCAGGGAGGCCTTGTCTGTCATCTCGCCCGTTACGACCTGCAGTGAAAAACGAGTGGATAATTCCGAAGCACTGTCAATTTATAACTTCAATTAATTTACAAGGTTTAAGATTCGTTCGTTCGGTGATTTGGTTAATTTAGTGCTGTACTTTATGATTTCAGGACTATTACAGATTCATTTTTATTTCATTTGTATATTCATAATGTCAGAAAAGGCCGGGTAAAAATATCGGAATATGTTAACGGTTGTGGGTAGGATTAGCATTTAAGTTCATTGGCTCTTGTACAATCCATCTCGAAAACTATATGATCGTTTATGGTTATAAATACTTTTTCATTGGGCAGTTTGCAGAAGTTCTGCTGATTTTTCTTCGAGGTTTCCACCTTTTGGAACATTTTACCAAGATCTCAGGGAGAAGACGGTATCAGAGTTTTTAGTACCCTCCAAACAAGGTCTCTGACCTGGTAGTCCTGGCATCCCTGGTGTTCCAGGAAATCTTAGGAAAACGTCGGGAATACTTCTGCCATCCCGTTCATCCCATCTTATAAAAAGAGATCACCAAATTTATTTTCGTCAACCTTAACCTCCCAGGAATTTAGGACCCCGTGTGTTTTTTAACTTTTTGCATTTAAATTGTGATATTTTTCGTAGCCTTAATTTGGGATAACCACAGCGACAACTTTGGGTGGTGGATCTAAAACACGGTTGCGATAGAGACTGCATACCAACCTCCACCCTGTGATTTTCGAGATCTTCCGTCGCCTCTACTAATGGACTGGTTTTTCATGGCAGCCCTAAAAAAAATTTTCAGGACGTGTTAAAAGATCGTAACCTTGTGATACATCCAGGGACTTATTCTTATCACACGTTTTAGCATAGTTTGGAGTCCAAACTATCTTTTTTTTGCATTTGTTTCAATGGTAATTACCAAAAGCGATAGAAAACCGTAGGAGTATCAAAAGTTTTGATCCACTTTCAGATGCATAGCCCCCCACGCCCCTTCATCCTGCTGCTTTGTAAGGCTTTTTACTCAACTCAAATTTCCGCAATTATAATCACGTATTTCCTGCTTGGTCATAGTTTCCAGTCAGTATTTTTTCAAAGCTAATCAATAACAGGTCTTATAAGTGGTTCATATAAGTAAAAGTCTCACCTAAATTCTAGAGCCTTAAGTCGTTTCTCGAGACTTTCAAGGCTTAAGACGTCTCTCTTATCCCTGTCAAGCAAAGTTTTAGCGCCATTACTCCTTTTGTTGGACTGTCTCGTTGGAATGATCTCCTCAAACTTCCGTTCAAATCTGTCCATTCTATGATCAATCACAGACAATCTTTGCCTGATTTGAATGTGATCCAAGGAGAGGAATGTCAACCATGACAACAGCCCAACGAAGACCAATGCATAGAAGAAGCTGCGGCAAATCTCCAAAAAGGCATATTTTGCGTTTTGTTTCCTCATTTCTTTTATTTTTAAGAGCAAACTCTATCAAAAAGGAAAACTATCTCATTAACGACAATAAGCACGAAATTTTCGCGATGATATTTGAAGACCTGTTTTCATATGAAACTATTACAAGACTATGCTATTTCCTTTGTTTAACGTGGTGGAAAAGCTACAAGGAGATGTAGACATAAGTTCCATCCCTCGCTCTAATTACGAAAACTTCAATCAGCTAAGAAAGTAAATGAGTGGGAAACAACCGGCAAAAACCTCCGAAAGCCCACCATCTTTGACAATATAAATGAAAATACACAAATCCCTTTTTCATCTCAGTGATGAAAAAATGGAGCGATTGGTCTTCAAGTGGCCTAAATTTTGAAGGAATAAGGCCAAACACGTTGGCAATGGTTAAAGAAATAAGATGCAACGAACTTGCGCGGAGAGCAGCGTATTTGTAGTGTCCCGCATTGTGCAAGATCATAAAATTTACAAAAAAAATTCAAATCTCACGGAGCTTGTGCGCAAACATTTGTTTACCTTTCTAATCAGATAGACAATTTCATTAATAATATCAAGAATCCACCATTTCGGTATTTATTACACAAACATTTTAACGAGAGCAATATATCTAACCTTAAAATGGCTCAGAAATCAGATCTGTTCAAATGGTGGAGGGCGATTCTCGCTGAATTTGCTTGAATTCTTGGTGAGGATCGATTCGGGGAACTTCGTCAGAAGTTCAAAAGTTTTGCTGTAGTGTTGATCCCAATTCAAGCTGTCGTTTGTGTTTCGGTGTCCTAACAGATGCCTGATGCCTGCTTATTTCATTATCTATATAGATTAATGTAGCATTATCTATTTCCTAACGGTTGGATCACTTAATCCATCTATAGCTTGCGCTGACAGATTCAGCTGTTGTTTAGGAAAGTAAGCTTGAGCTACTCTGGTCAGTTAAGTTGGAAACAATGGATCGCGATAAAGAGGATCCATATGTAAGGTGTCGTTTTTCTGAGATTGTCCGTTTCGTATTCTACGTGGCAGTAGTGATTTTTCTCTTGTCGAGTGTAGTTTTAGTAGCTGTAGATTACGTTCAAATAAAACAGAGATTGGCTGCAATTGAGGAGAAGATAAACGCGGACGAGTTGTTGCGGAAAGTTTGTGTAACAGATCGAAAACAGACAGAAATCGATGGAAGGGCTGAAGTTCAAGCTTCGCTTTCAAGAAGAAGGAGAGCGTTAACCCTGAGTCTTGCAGGTCTTGAGAAACGAGTGAAAGTTCTGGAATACAGGTGAGGTCTCCATTATCATCGTCGCAACACCCCACATGATAATCAATCTGCACAAACGTGAAAAGAATCACGGACTGTTGCGATAATTTGCCGCATCGCTGACACATTGATCTCTTGTAAATAAACCGCACGTTTTGGATTAACTTCTTTATCTGTAAGATTATAGCTAGGTGGGTGATTATCATATCAGAAACAGAAGGTCAGGTTTTTGAATGTCCAAGAGGGAGATCCATCATCTAAAAATGACAAGGAAGCTATTATTATTGCTCGGAGAAGAATTTCAATCCCTTTTATTACTGGCAAAAGCTTAAAATGAAAGCAAAAACAAACTTATATACCATGATAAAATCTCAAAATCTTTTTGTCGGAGCCTTAAGCAATATATTAACGATCAGGCGATTTTCAAGTATATGACGTTTTCATGGTAAACACATAGCGTTTTTCAAAATTTTGATTTCAGAGATGATGAAATAAACGATGATTTTATGAAATAGAAAAAAGAAACTTATTACGTCCAACATCGTCCATTTTGAATAAAATATTGCGTGAGATTGTTACATCTTTTTCTTTAGGGCAATTAGAAATAACCAGTCCTCTTCTATCGAAGTATTTGAAACACCAGGAGCACTACTGAAAGGTAAACTTTACAGACTTCATTAAATTTTAACAAGAAACAATAATTTAGGCTGTTTAAATGTAACAATCAATACGGTTGACTTCCGTGCTGTTTTACTCAAAAGAATAATAGGTTAATTGTAATTTTACTTTGCATAGGACGAGATGGACGGGATGGTAGGGATGGACCCGCGGGACCTCCCGGATCACCAGGTACACCAGGACAACCAGGGACACCAGGTTAGCAAAAAACTACCCTTTTTTCCTTGCTGCGAGAAATGACGAACTTTGTGCCTTTGTGAGACACATCAGTTTCTTTTAAATAAATACTGACTGACTGATTTAAACAACTAATCACAACTGATTTTATTTCGTTAGCCAGCGTTTCAAGCCAAGTGCCAATATGTGACGCCTTAAAGCTCGATCCTGAGCTTAACATTTTAACTATTAGTTTACCAGACTCTTACTTCTAATCGAATTGATTTACAGCATTTCAGAGCTGTCTTTTTTATTTTTGTTTTTTATTTTTTTCCTCCATCTACTCTTTTTTTTCTGAACGGTTTTAACTATCGCAGGGCATGATGGGCGAAAAGGTGATTTTGGAGCACAGGGACCTCCTGGTCTGAAAGGTATTGAAGACACTGATACGCTAATGCGCTAAGCTCCCGCTTGCCATTATTGTAAGCGGCTTGTTGATATCCATGGTTATTTTCATTGCATTTACTATCAAGATTGGAAGCTTGGCTCTTGAAGGTGAACCCCCCCCTTTTTTTTTTTTCGTTTTAGCACCCCTAAAACTCGTCACCGCAAGCACCCATGTATGTATTAGATGGTGAATGCTTTTCAATGAACAACGTGATTGTAACTGAGCCAGCTCAATACTCCATCTTCATCCGCTCGGGCTCAGTCCAAAACCTTTCGTACAATAATCGTAGAAATCTCGCGTGCATATTGATCAAGAGCTATGGTCAATAAGATCTTTGAATATGGAAGCTTGCAGTGGATCTTTTAGCTCGATAAAATCATTCATGTTTTAGCAAGAGTCGTCTTCAAATGTTTGCAGGGGAGGCTGGTTCAGGCGGAAACGTCGGCAAACAAGGATATCCGGGACCTAAAGGACAAAAGGGACAAGAGGGGCAGGGGCTGTCTGGAGTCAGTTACGTGCGCTGGGGCCGGACAAGGTGTGAGGGAGATGGTCAAATTGTGTACACAGGTGAGTGCCCTCTACAGAGAGAAATTGAAGCTTTCAAAAGTACAAGATTATGATACATGCCGTTTTCCATATATCATTCCCGTTGTTTCTATCAATTTGCGAAAAAAAGCTACACCTGCAAGATAAATCATTTCAGTTTTTTATACTATTCCCCTACCCAAACAAAGGCCATATTTAGTAGGGTTCCACTCGATTGATCTAAAGTGCTAACAAAACGAGTCTTCGAGCTAAATAGTGGACCAAGCTAGATGCAATCATTCTAATTTGGCTCAATACGCTCGCCAAAATATTCCACACAAGCAAGGATATCTGCTGAATGATATCAAGAAAAACCGAAAAATGTTCAGATTATGAAAAAAAACTACTGAGTCAGAGGACAGGAGCAAGCAGGTACCGGGCTTTCACACCTAAGATTTCAATTCATCAGTTTTAGCCTTTTCAATACATTCCTTATGTTTCAAGTTATTGAAGGTAATAATTCAGGTGAAAGAATGACTGGAAAGGCATCATGATTATTGCTGCTTAACGGAAGGCTGCAAGTATCGAGAGAAAAGTTGCTGTGAATGTCTGGAACAAATCAGGATTAGAAGGTTAGGCTACCAACACTAAAACTTTCATTTGAGTTTAGGGATCATTGGAAGCGGTGCTTATCATCACCGGGGAGGCGGTGGAAATTACTTGTGCCTTCCTAATGACCCAAAGTACGACAAATATACCAACAGCTGGGAGACAGCGGGCGCCATCTATGGAACTGAGTATGAAGTGAGTTCCTTTAATCCGTTTACAAATAACCTGCATAACCACGACGCACCGTGTGCCGTGTGCTTCGTCAGATCACGTGGTTCGCAATTGATGATGCCCGCAAGGAATGACTGTCCATCCGGTTGGGCTAAAGAGTATCATGGGTATTTGATGACAGCTCATTACGGCCACCAGAGCACGCGAGACTTTATCTGCGTTGATTGGGAGGCTGAGTATGTCCCAGGCTCCCAATCTGATAAAGATGGTGCACTGCTGTATCTTGTTCAAGGAGGTTGTGGCTCGTTACCATGCCTTCCATACGTCTCTGGAAGAGAGCTGACATGCGCTGTGTGTACGAAGTGAGCACTGGCAAAGAATTCTGGTTCTCTTAGTATGATTAGCGATTAGCTTATTACTCAAGTTGTTTACCGTTCAGGAAGTAGGAATTGAAGGCCTCAGGAAAGTGTCAATCCTTAATGCATATATGACAGTAGAATACACGAAAGTAGGAAGTTTAGTGCAAGATTCAGAACTAACCGTCTGAACTCGCCCCATAATTTTGTAGTACCTAGAACTTCAAAGGTATTCATTTTTTATCTGAAGAATATCATAAACAACATTCAATTCTAGTGTGGTTATTCATTACATAAATAAAGTGTCCAGCTCCTTCTGGGGCTTGAATGCTGCAGACCGGAATCAACCGCGAAAATCACGCGATTCGACGTTATACTCAATACCGTAGTTAATCACAACCATTACAATTTCTTCAAATGTGATTGGTGCACTAACTGCTTTATTTTTCACAAGCTATTTTGTGGAGTTGTAGTCGAACAGTGTAATTGAACAGTTGGCTGTAATCGGACACCTGTAATCGAACAGTTGAAGCACCCAATCGGACTTAGTCTACTTAGCTAAATCCAGCAATCACAGAATTGATCACAATAACCAAAGCAACAACCGCTTGTCCCAAGAAAAACTGGGGGATTTCGTAAATGGAGGAATTTTTAACTTAAGACATTATGGAGATATTGGTTCTAGATGTCATTCTTTTTTCGAAAGTTGTAATGGTTATGATTACTAGGGTAACAGGACTTCGTGTCTTCGTGTCTTCGTGTCTTCGTGACTTCGTGATTAAAAACTTCGGACTACCTCTTCGCGGTCGTCTGATTTTGTCAATCACTCGTATGATTACAGACCGAATTGGACTTCACTCAATCGTATTACCATTATTAATATGCTACAAAATCAGTTCGACCTTTGCTTTTGAATGAAATAGTCCATTAAAAAATCCCTAAGGTAAAATTTGTGTTTTGTGTTCAAAACAGCGGAGAAATGATTTGTTAGACTTCACATTTCCGACTGAAATAGATCGTCACGCTATCACTTGGATCATCCATCTCTGGGGGGAATGGTCAAATTTTCATCATGACCTTGAAAACAATGGAGATCTTTCCGGAGAGATTTTAATCATTTCTCAAGACTTTAAGACTCTAAACCAATGCTTTCCTTTTTTTTATAAACAAAGCATGAACATTTATCACTTTACATCACACCGTATTTGAGCTTTCCCATAGAACGTCTTTATCATCTCTTCAGTGATCAACTTCTCTCTGATTGCAGCTACATTCCCCTTTATTTGAACGTGCTCCAAAACCATGAAAGTCAAGCACGACAAGCATAGGGCGCATAGTCTGTCAGAGTGGCCTATTGCATTTCGCTTCTTTTATTTTTCTAGATTAATTTTCTCAGTGAAAGCCCAGTTTGATCGAAACAGCTCACGCTTCCTTTGCAGATGCAATTTATCTTAAGCGGTCTTCGCACACTACATATATGGGTTGATTTAAGTGCACTGCTGCGAGAGAGATGGTGTTACGTCCAATTACTCGCCAAGATAAACTGTAATCAGACATTTGGAAAACATATTATATGTTTCCCAGATGTCTGATTACAGTTTACCGTGAGAGCACAATAACATGATTATTCTAAATCTTCAGTTCATTTCTCAATGTCAGTAGTTAATATCTGATTTTGTTTTTTAAAATCAGAACATAAATTATTCAATTGATCAACAGACAGGTGAAGAGAATTGAAACAGTAGTCTGATAACCAAAGCGAGCCTTTTTTTCTGAATTAACGACCAGATTCTCAATAACCATTCTTTTGTAGGTATTTTGAGATGATCAAGAAAGTTCGGAAAGCTTTAAAACTTAAGAAATCCGATTTCCTCTTCCATTGAGTCATCATAGCCATGTTTCGTCTGGGTTACACTTTGGATATCTCATTAAGTTAAAAAATTTCTGGCTCCTCTCTCAGTATGGTAGGAATTTCATCATCACATATACACATACACGGATTTCAGAAATTTATGGTTAGTAGACACGACCAGCTCTGTTCTTAAAAAGAACAGCTCTTAAAAACTTAATGGGAAACAACATTGCCTTTCACTTATTGCCTTAAAGCTAAACAAATCACTTACTTGAAATTCAATACAAACATACTGTAGTATTTCTTTTATTGGGCTTTCTTTCCCTCTTCCTTTTCCTATTTCTTCCTTCTTTTTCCCTATTCCTCAGCTGGTGCGCAAATAATTTTACTTAATGTCTGGCTCCTGGATCGAATGGTAACAGCCGGTTTTGCTTACCTTAAGAATTCCATTGAATTTACCTGACTTGAGTAGAGTCACGGATTTAAAAACACACGGAGACAGAATCAATTTCCCTAAGGAGGATTTCATTTTCATAAGTGCCAAGAATCCCTACGCTTTACATAACATGAATTTTGTTTGAAGTTCATAATTTGAAATGTCTAAATGATAAGGCAGCTGCATGCATCTCTTTCTGATGGGATGGAATCACTATTTATTGTGATTCATCGCTTGACATTCACACCATGCTATTATATGTAGTTTTGTTGGTAAACTGTCGTCGCGTTGAGTGAATTACTACAACTCAAAAGTGTGATAAAATTTATTTCTTCCGTAACACGATTACTGAAAAATTAACTCAGACTCCGGCGTGTCCCCTAGGAAATCGAAAAATAGCTTGTTCTTAGCATCATTTTAGTCTTTTGTCCTTTTCAAGGTGGATAGATTCTCCCCATTGCCTCTGGTATACTATAATAACAGACGAAGTACTACGGGAAAGCGAAACGGTGAGATCTGAACCTTTACTTGGTACACACTGCGCATGTCAGCTCTCTACCACCAATGTAAGGGAGGCATGGTAACGAGCCGCAAACCCCTTCCACAAGATACAGCAACGCATCATCTTGACTAGATTGGGAGCCTGGAACATACTCAGCCTCCCTATCAACGCAGATAAAATCTCGAGACATCTTGTGATTGTAATGTTCAGTCATCAAATAGCCATGATACTCTTTAGCCCAACCGGTTGGACAATCGTTCCTCGCGGGCATCATCAGTTGCGAACCACGCGATCCGACGTAGCACACGGCGCATGTTGCATCATGGTCATGTACGTTATTTGTAAACGGATTAAAGGAACTCACTTCATACTCAGTTCCATAGATGTAGGCTGAATTCTGCCAGCTGTCACTATACTTATCGTACTTTGGGTGGTTAGGTAAACACAGGTATTTTCCACCGCCACCCTGGTGAGCATAATGTCCGCTTCCAATGAATCCTGATGTTTAATAGGAAAGAGCATAGAGTTTTAGTATTGCATCGTTATTGTCATAAGACTTGCAAAACCTTACTTTTGTTTATTCGGGAAATAGTGCATTCATGAGTCTCAGTAATTTTTTTGGTAGAATCTCCCTTTTGCGTTATTGAACTTTGTACTTTCGGTTTGTGTCACGCGCATATTGGGGCATGCGCAGTAGTAATAGGGAGAAGATTAAACATGGTTGTTGACTGAACACGTTACACTTTTCTTGCTTAGTTTTGATAACTCGACGTAGAGAGGACCAATGAAACCGGCCGAGACTTCAAAAAGTTGTTTTTAACCACGACAAAAATCCCGAATAACGGAGAACTTTTCAGTTTTTCATCTTGAAAGGTGAACGCTAATTTTTTTTACCTTGGATGTTATCTACAACTATCTATTTCTGTGTCTCTTATTTGAATAGAGGATCTATGCAAGACAGCTAAATTATGTTGATCAATATACGATATATTGCATAGCACAACACTAACTCAAATGATTTTAACAACAGATTTGTCTAAAAACCTTAATTAATAAATCATCGACTCTCTAACGCTAAATGTGACACGTCAAGACCAGTGTATTCCATTCATTTCCTCTTCCCTTAGACTTGAACATTTCCTCTTTTATTTCCTTTGTAAGTTTGTTTTAAAAACGTCTTTTAGAGGTCCCTTTGCGCGTGAATTGTATTCCCAAGAATTATGAAAGGAAGGCGTGGTACACACCTGTGTAAACAACTTGAGCATCTCCATCACACCTTGTCCGACCCCAGCGCACGTAACTGACTCCAGACAGCCCCTGGCCTTCTTTTCCCTTTTGTCCTTGAGGTCCAGGATCTCCTGCACATTATTAGAAAATCTTCTCAGTATCAGAATAAAATGGAAATATAGCTCTTTACACTGAAATTATCGTGATCTGATTTATTAAGATTTAAAAAATATTTACAGTACCTTTTGGTCCCGGTGGGCCTTGTGTTCCGCCTTTATTACTACTAAAACCTGAGGGATAAAATAGTTTAGCCGTGAGGATGCAATTTCAAACGAGAAGAGAAGAAAGAAATTGCTCCTATATGGTGGAAAATTTAATTGACGATCCAAAATATAAAAAACTATCATGTCGCAGCCTGAAAACAACACCAACTCCATGCTGTTCTTAATTATTAATTATTAATGTAATCGTTTTACTATTTTAATACTCCTGGGACCACAGTAATTGGCTATCGCTGTTGTGGTTGCCTGCCCGTTATTGTTATTGTATTTTACCCATGTTCTATACTGTATGTATTGTTGGCAAAACTAATAAAATAAAATAAAATAAAATATTCCCAGTTCCTTTCTATCTAAGCCATAGCTTTAACTAAAGTGACATAACATGTGGGTAAAGACTTGACCACAACTTATGTCGGAAAATGATTATAATAATTTTAAGTCCTGTAAGAAAAAAAATTGTGGTTTTGTATTTCTCCAACCTGGTACTCCTGGTGTCCCTGATTGCCCTGGTGTCCCTGGTGGTCCAGGAGGGCCCGCGGGACCATCTCTGCCGTCCCGACCATCTCGTCCTGTGATAAATGAACATCATTGTAATTAGACATTTATTTTCATAAAAGAAATAATAGCTTGTACGTGTTAACCAGTGATATCAATAACTCCGTGTTTAGACACAGGCTTATTTTAAAGTCTTAACTTTCTTACTACCAGGGATTGACCTTTTATTATAAGTAATATGTTTCTACACGTTACATGGTAAGGAAAGTTGTTTAACTTTGGGTGTTGTTTCTTTACCGCCGCATCGCAGATTACCTCGCAGTACTTCCGGTGTCCGAAACAAGTCCCTGGGAGAAGACTTGTTTTCCTTGATTGCCCTGCAAAAATTGCAAACCATCTTTAAATTCCAAATGTGATGTACTGTTTACAGACCGTAATCTGGTTATTGGCTTAATCAGAAAAT